ACATATACGAAACTTAGAAATTGCATGCAATGAATTTTATGAAAACTGTAGATGTGTCGAGACACATTCTCGTAAGCAGCCACTAAATCTTCGCATACATTACAAATACCCCGCGAGCAGAGGCTACATTTTCGCTGTGTGATCAGTCGTGCGGAAAGTAGCCTCTGCCGACAACCGTTCAATTTTCTATCGTGCATGCGCGAAATTCGTCACGTGATTCGCAAGTAAAATTAATCGTCAGGGATCGTCAGGTCTGTCGTCAAATGTCGCGAGTTCGCAGGGATAAAAAAATTGCGACAACTCTGATCTGCTACGCAAGACTCAGGCATTGCTCTAAACCGGTCAAGAACAGGAAAAAACCCGGTTTTTAAATTTATTCGTCCAGATTTCTGAGATTTCTGGACGGATTTGAACGGTTGTCGGCAGAGGCTACTTTTCGCACGACAGCTCACACAGCGAAAATGTAGTCTCTGCTCGCAGTGCGCTCACGAGTGCCTTGAAGGTATTTTGCTCCCTATTTTGTCTAAGACATGAAAAGTTTGAGTCCCAAATAATAATTTTTGTTTGATTTATAGCCAAATGGACAAAACTAACCAACCAGATGTCACAAGTCTGTTTCAGTATGAAAAATAACCAGTTTGGCAGGTTTTGGATCCCTTTTACTGGCTTTCTGGTCAGTGTCAAGCTGGTTCATTTATCTGGTTCTATGAATTGTTCACCGAAAGAAAAGTCGTTTAATTGGGGATGTACCCCAGATGAAATCAACACAATGATAACAGATTCGTCTGGTTCCATCTTGCTGCCTCGCAGAGAAAAAGGATCCACAGACCTCGGCTTCCAAATTCCAGGATACTTGTCAACATCCCCTCAGTTGGTCTTCCCCAATCTTCAGCCTCGTTTGCCAGTAGTTTCAGGCCAAGAGATGCGTATTTGGAACGCCGAGGATCTGCTTAAACAGGAGTGGGCGGGCGACAACCGTGGATCTGTTTGTGCCGACGTTTATGTTATGATTAGCCTATGGTAATCGGAGTTCCACTAGGCTTTATACTGGATCCATTGTTATTTTCGATCTACATCAATGATATCCACAATTCTTCATCAAAATTTTAATTCTTTCTTTTTGCTGATGAAAAAAAACGTAAAATAACGCTTGAGAATATGGTGAACATGCAGTGAATTGTGCAAATTGTCAGTCTGGCTCAATGCTAATGAATTTAACGCTGAATACCAAAAACTTCAAGCTATGTTATATTTCGTTCATACCAGCGCAAGATAGAATATCGGGTCAATATTTCAATGAGATTGCCAATATGAATTTGCTCATGATATTAAAGCTTAATTATAGAGAAGTTGCCCAAGCAAGATGGAAAAAAAGAATTTTTCAAATACCTTCAAATTTTTGCGAAAGAATTGTTACTCATCTAGAGGTGTCAAAAACTGAGGTGGAGTGTTTCATCACGAGGTTCCAGACACCATGAAAAAGACAAAAACACGAGGCCGTAGGCCATGTCTTCTCAAACTGAAACAATAAGAAATGATGCAGTGACATCTTTTCTCTTTGCACAACCGGCCCCTTGTGAGGATTCTCTCTCCTGCTTCGTGAGAGACAACCCTGGGAACGTTTCATTTCAGATGAAAAACATGTTTCATCTCAGAGGAAAACCTGGCGGTGTTTAATGTGGTGTTTCGCTAGCTATCAAGATTCATCCACCTGATCCAAGTAGTCGTCATTTATTGGCTTTTGACACCATGAATAATTAATGAGTTTGAAAACTGCGAACTCAGTTTTTCTCTGCCTATATTTTCAACCTACTTTGTGCTGTCTGGATAAAAAATATGAAACATTCCTAATATTGATGTGTCAGTTTAATAGTTATCAAGTAATACCAAAGATTGCTTTGAGTGCATGTCGAGAATTCTTGAACAAACACTCGATAAAGTGATTCATTGACCTTCAGACATTCTTATGCAACGGTCGGTTAGAGAAACTCTTCCTTTTTCAACGCCCAGAGTCATTTTTTTCCTTTTTAGGATCAACCGCTCCATCTGCTAGAATCCTGCTGGCAAAAGACGGATCTTAAAGACAAAGCAAAGAAGGTCAACTTGCTACCGATAAGGATAATTATTTTGGAATTTAAACTAATTCTAATCTTGACCCTCCCACGGTTTTTTTAAACTTGACCTGGACCAGTTAAAGAAAATCCGTCGACGCCATTGGAAAGAGCACCTCAAAATGGTCTAAAGTGAGCAAGGATATAGATTCACAAAGTTGCGAAAATTTACAGACTTTTGTATGGTGGGGTGCACAAACTTGCCCCTCCCCCCACCATACAAACTTCTGCGAAATTTCGCGAATTTGAGTAGCTATATGTTTGTCCAGTTCGTTTTCGACAAATCAATTTCAAACTTGGCAATCTTACTAATTTAAAGGCGATTTTTCCTCAGGGGTTGACGGATTTTCCCCAACTTGCCCTTGTCAAAAGTTAAAAAAAAAACATTGAGAGGTCTGTTATTATTAATTCATAAGATTGTTCTTTAACCTTCCTCATTTCCGATATCGGTTTGGTTAGTTTTGAATGGAACATAACTTCTTATGGAAAGAAGACAAAACAAACTCATTATAAAAATGGAACTTCCATAATTTTAAGGAAGCTTAAACAATTAGGAAACTAGAATCTGAATCTGATTTCTGGTTCTGTTATCCATATATGATAAAAAAGGAAAAAGAACTTATAAAAAATTCATGAAGCGAAAAATGGAAATCACAACATAACGGGGGAGGTGAAAACTAAAATCTGATTTGGAGTTCCAAAGAAACCACGTAGAAACCGCGAATCTGGTTTTACGAACTCAACCTTAATTGTTTTAATTCAACCCACATTAATTGTCTCAAAACGAAGAAGAATGATCCTCGCAGTTGTGAACGCAATTTAAGCAATTGCGCAAGGAGCCTAAAAAAATACAGGACTTCAACGGGGTTTGAACTAGGACCTCACGATACCGGTGCGATGCTCTAACCAACTGAGCAGTGATGTTGGGAGCTTGACAATTATGTGTTCATATATTCTCGTGAAAGAGATGAATGTGATAGATGTATATGAAATATAAATCATATAAGAACTGCGGAAAATAAATAAAATCAAGTGAAGAATGATCATCTCATTGGCTATCAAATAAGAAATGATCCAGGGGCGCAGTTGCTGGAAGACCGATTAGCTAGCGCTAAACCGGGCATAATTTTTAATCTGAGTTTCTTTTCTTTTGTTCAAAAGTATTTTCTCGCATAGTATTAGCTATTCTTGATAGAAAATCCGTTTACGTTTGGTTGAAATTGTTGGAAGAGACGACATTTGGAAGGTTCGAGAAATCAAGATTTTACTGTAACCTAAAATACCAAATTAATGTGTGTAATCTTAACAGCAGAAAGCAAACCAGTTGGCTGTTTATAGGACAGGCCAATGAACTTGGGGCGTGTGTCTTTAGAATCTCAGTAACTTTTTGGGCCCAGGAATATAAATATTCAAATCTAAATCTAACCAACAAAATCGTGGGTCCTATTGGCTAAAAAAAACTAGTTCATCTTTTTTCGTTGACTGACAGCGGTTTATCACTCGCGCGCGCGAGCGGATATCATTTCTAGGTCACGTGACCATAAGTCCGCCCGGCCGCTCATCCGTCCGTCCGTCTGCCCGCACCACAGGGAAACTAATTCAAGAGCAAATGTCACACTTTTTATAGCATGTTTGGGAGCCTGTAACCATGTTGTGGCCAATTGGCAACTGTCAAAACAGGGTATCCGCTGATCAGTATCACATCACCATATCTTGAGCTAAAGCGTCGACCCGTTGAGGTCACGTTTTTTGAAATTCTCCGCTGACAAGTCACTTGATTTAAATTCATTGTTGCAGGCTCAAGTACAAGTGGACTTCTTTGTAATGGTTTCAAGTTTATTGTTTAAAGCAAAATATATTAATTTGTTAACGCAAGCTTCACCTTTAGCCTTGGCTCAATCTATATATTATTAATTAATTACATATCTGTTGAAACTCCCATCTTGATTTGTCCTTAACGTATCAATGTGGTGTGGTAGACTAATTTGATAACAATGATAGCCTCTAATGCAAACAAAAAAAATAATATTTTAAGAACAGTTTAATGTAAAACTGGAATATTAAGGTGGTAGAAATAAAACTTTGTGACTGGTTTGGGCAGATGCTGTCAAATTTCGTAAGGTCACAGATTCAAGTCGTGATACCTTAGACAAATAGAGTTGTTTTGGTGTGGAACGAACTTCGCGCACACAAGGCTAGGAGCTCGATCGTTTCTCGAAGCTCTAATGAATAACGCACCCATAAAGTTGTTTTGTGCTGTTTTTAAAATATTAATTTTGTTTACATTAGAGGCTATTATTGTTATCAAATTAGTCTACCATACCTCAATCAAGTTTCGCACGTTTTCCTTTGCATGGCAATTTACTGTCGTTAACAGAAACGAAACGAAGCAGCGGAGTATATGTCCAAAACAGGGCTCCGAAGGTGAGGCTATTGTCCTGTCCCCTCTATTAACTATGGTATCTTTGGTTTCATTGTGGGTCACAGTTTCACGGAGCACCTCTTTTCCAGGCTGGGAACATTTGCCTTCTCCATCCTGGAATGTTTATTATATCGAATCAAAATAAAACATTGTGCTTGGAATAAAGTTAACAGTTTATATTAATACTGCATTTTGTGCCAAACAATAAGGCGATAGCATTTCTTTTTAATAACTGTGAAAAGTTATTATCGAGAACTAGTCACTCCCACGCACAATTAGAAAGCGTTTATTCAAGTCTACGAAGGATAAGATCAAATCGACAGGTCCGTCATATTTATTCAATTGCTGCTAGCTCCTTATTTCTCTATTAACAGAGTCGAAGTGTACTTGTCAGTGTTTGCTTTATTTTCTTGTTGTGATCTCGTGCTATGTAGGGAAAAAGAAACTGCAAAAACTTCACCGCTTCAATGCAGCTGTCGATGGTTTGTTTGTTGGTCAGGGTGACAATGTCTGCCTTGGTTTATGCAAGTGCGCTGCAGCAATGCATGCAGTCGAGTAAGTATGGTTCGCATTACGGAATTGCTCCTCTTGGATATTCTTACAAGTCCTTTGTTGCCGATCTCCTTGTAACATGTTACCGCGCCTGTCAACAAGAGCCGTCTTGTCAAAGTTTGAACTACAACTTGGCAAACAGAATTTGTGAGTTCAACAGTTTCGCTAAACGCCCCGACGATTTGGAGGACAAGCTGGATAACTTCGTTTATGCTGTGAACTTCAATCGGAAAGTTGAAGGTAGGTCAGGGCGTACACCGCCCCCCCTCCCTGGACTGATGCCAGTCCATCGCAGGATTACTTCCTCCCACTATGTCTCCGGTACCCTTTTATACTCCTGGGTGAAGAGAGACAAAGTGGAATAAAGGCTCCTTGTCTAAGAAAACAACGCGACGGGCGATGCTTGAGCCCCGAACTTCCAGATCGGAAGTTCAAAGTGTTAACCGCTACGCCACACACGCATCCATGCACATAGAGGGGCGGATCTAGGGGGAGGGTGCAGGGGGTGCGCACCCCCCCCCCCCTGAGATGACCTGCGGTTTTCTAATACAACTGGTATTCTGCAAAAACTATGTGGTTTATTGGTGTTGAAGTAGACCAAGAGACGAGTGCACCCCCTCTTAAAAAAAATCCTGGATCCGCCCCTGACATACCCGACCGCGGCAAGCCTTATCAACGTTTAAAACGCCTTAATTCAACACTCCTTTTATGAGTTTATAATGTATCAGCTAGTTCTGTTAAAAGAAATTTCGATGCTTGGAGAAAAGGGCGAATACTATAACCCGGAGAGTCAAGAGTCGGAACTTTCCGGTGTTTGAATTCTTCTTCTTTAAAAAAATTTGAATTATTGCATTTTTTTGTCATTGAATCTTTTACAAAAAGGTCTGAAAGGTGATTAATTTTCTTGACTTCATGTTGGACCAGGCTGGTGATATCTGATAAAAATACATGCATTCATGATCAGTACACCTGGATTGAAGTACATGCTTAAGTCAGGGCGACACTGCAAAACAGCCCTTATTCATGCCTAGGATAACCCTCGGACGTACAAGCAAATTCATATCCCCACCGTGGTACCGGGGGGGGGGGGGTGGATGGAATCCCCCCCCAGAGTTTTTGATATGTTGCAGTATTTCGAAACGATTTTGCCGTAAGTGGAAAGCCTGTGATTTTCTCAACAAGACAAGGTATATTTTATGGATGGTGGAGCTGCTGGAGGCTTGTGACGTCACCAACAATGGTTGCCATCTTGGATTTTGCCAAGAACTAGAAATCAGGTTAAAATCGGGATAAATGGTCACTTTTTGTGCTTAACTTATAAATAAGTACTTTGTATCATTCCATCCAGAAGTTTTACTTTTATTGTTGAAAAAAGAAAAATGAATAAACAGGCATTTTCACTCAAAAATGGCATGGCCACCTGCTACTTATGACGTCATATCTCGTAACCATAGTAACTGACCATCATTAAACTTATCTGGGAAAAAGAAATAAAAGAACCTCAGAGGGGGTTGACAGCTACATCCTCCCCCACTTGTACGGCCGAGGGTTACGTCTTAACGAATACGTAACTTAGAAACTGCATGCAAGAAATTCCATGCCGTAGAGTAGACGTATCGAGACCTCCTCTCGCAAGCGCGCGAGCACTAAATCTCCGCATACATCTTGGGTGGTCGCTGACGAGAGGTTTGACTGTATTTTTGCGCCTTATGACATGTACAATTAGTTTCCCAAATTATATGTTTTTGTTTAATATATAGACAAATGGATAAAACTAAGAAACCAGACGCCACAAGTCTGTTTTGGTGCGAAACATAACCAGTTTGGCAGGTTTTGGATCCCTTTCACTGGGTTTTTGGTCAGAGTGAAACTGGTTCATTTGTCTGGTTTGATTCGGTGTTCACGGTGGACAAGATGGTTTAATTGGGGATGCAAACGAGGGAAAATCCTCACAGTGATAACGAATTCGTCTGATTCTATCTTGCTGCCTCGCAGAGAAAAAGGATCCATACTCAACGGCTTCGAAATTCCAGGATACTTTCCAACATCCCCCCAGCTGGTCTTCCCTGATATTCAGCCTCGTTTGCCAGTAGTTTTAGGCCAAGAGATGCGCATTTGGAATACCGAGGATCTGCTTGTGCCGAAGTGGACGGGAGACAACTTTGGATCTGTTTGTGTCGACGTTTATGTTACGATAAACCTATGGTAATTAGAGTACCACAAGGCTCTGTGCTGGGTCCATTGATATTTCTGATCTACGTCAATGATGACTCTTCATCAAAGTATACTTTTTTCTTTTTGCTGATGACACTTACTCGTCGTTTGCTGACTGAAACGTAAAATCTCGCTTGAGATTAATATAGTGAATACGCAACGAATTGCCCAAAGTCTCAGACTGGCTCAATGCGAATGAAGTTAACTCTCAATGCCAAAAACTGCAAACCATGTAATATTTCGTCCATACCAGCGTAAGATAGAATATCTAGTCAATATTCAAATGACGGCAACAGTAGTCATCTCCCGACTCTCCTTTTATGTAAGGATTGTGTTAAGTCAAGGGTGTATATAAACAGAGAGAGAAACTCAAGATCGAGGATCAAGATATGTGAATTTCACTTAAGTTAATTACTTTAAACGGAGGTCTTATCCCTGAGACGTAAGCACAATCAAATCCACAAATCAAGTCCTCAAAACAAAAAATGGAGAATATTTGTAATAGCGACTGTTGAATTCTCTCTTAACAACGCAAGGTACAAGTTTGCGGACCTCTCCAGAATCCAACTTCCGATTAATTCAAGCGTTTAATTTGTCTAAAAATAAGGGATTAAATTAACTGCAAAAACCGTGGACGAAGATCCTGCTAGTTGTAAACGTATGTAGTAGTCTTTGGACGTCGCGTTCTTGGTCTAAAAATAACTTTGTTACATCCGCATATCCTAAGGGCTAGAGTGGGCGTTTCCCTCTCGGTCTAATATTCCCCCTTGCTTGGGAGTTTTATTGGATAGTCCTGACAGTGATCTGATAGTGATAGTGCTGACAGTAATCTGAGTTAGAAATTTCATATTGAGTGTTGCACTAAAAATTAGTACAATCATATGATTAGAGTCGTTGCTCGTCTTAGGAACTGTTTACATGGAGGCGTGGGAACCCAAGTAGGTGAGGAACCCGCTAGGTAACCCTTCTGCCCATATAATATCTCATTTTCATATGAACGTGTTTCCATGACAGGTGGCCATGAAGCGACCCCGCCGAGGGTGGTTGCCCGGTCTGCTAAACTGGGTAACCCTTTCAGCTGAGGTCAATGTTTTCCATGTAAACGTTTCAGGGTGGGGTAATGAGAAAGTGCACCTCTGTTGCGAGTAATTCTACACTGACTGCTGAGATCCATTAATCTCCAAGCGCCTCGATTAGCTTTCTCTATCTGCGTGCAGAACTGCGTCTAAACATGTGTGTGAATAAACAACTAAAAATTGGGACAACTTTCAACATGTTTCAGTAAACACTCTTAATGCTATTAGAAGTCGTCTAAAAACGGTTATTAGTATGAAGAAGATGGAAATGGATTCCATGGCAACCTGGCAAAAGCAAACCCTAGCTTATAGGTTACTCCGTTTAAAAATGACACGGTAATTTTCTTCCTCCATTTGCTTCCTGAACTGTCGTCATCTTTGTCTTTAGGGAAGGATTTCTCCGTCTTGCACTATTTTAATAGTGAAAGATCATCCAGGCTAGCCTCTCACGCAGATGTTCCTTAGGTTTCGTTACGCGGCTTCCCCATGCGTGTTTCGATCGCGCGCCCCGTTCAATATCGCACGCACTCATAACTCGCGGTGAGGCACACAAATGAAAAGCGAAAATTCGCGTTAACGCAAGTGAACACTCGCGTGACACGCCCGCCTAGCCCAGCAGTTTGTCAGCGGTACACCGCATGAAAGTAGACTTTCAGCTCCTGTTATTAAACACTCCCCGAGCATATCGGTCTGTCCTTTGAAATTTCGGCGGGTTTGCTGAAATCTGGAGATTTTGGACTATTAGAGTGTTTCATCTTGACAAAACTGATGACCGGTGATGTTCTTAAGACCTTGCTTTAAAGACAAGAGCGAACCGACACAACAGACGCTTTGATGAGCAAACGGATCTTATAAATTGCTGTGTGATTGTCTCTGTGCGGCTTTGCGTCGGCGCGATTGAGGTCGTTTTTCAAAACGTGCTTTCGTCGATCTGGTGTCTGGTTTGCGCTCTGATTTTGGCTTCATTCATCTCCGACGTTTGAAGCAAACGTGTTAACACAATTCTCATCGCAAGCAGTTATTGATCAGGAATTTGCGTGGGCGAAACGAAGCTTACTTGCTACCAGGTAAGGTTCTGTTTATAAACTTTGTGCATGTTCGATTTGTTCTGCGGAAAAATATTGTCGAGCGATCTGAGCTTGTGATCTGATTCCCTAGTTGGATTCTCTGTGGGCCGTTTTCATTTTTCTGATTGTGATCTTTCGGTCAATGCTCTGACAAGAGAATTTTTTAGAGAGGTAGCGGGCTGATGTTGAGATTTTGCCCAGAGAGGAAGACAAAAAATTTCGGTAAAACTCTACAAGCTTTTAGTCACATAAACCAAGGTTTACGTTTCGTTTAAGTTACGTTTCGAGGTAAGGACATCTTTTCCTCGGACTTTTCAGCGAAGAAGAATTGAATTGAAAGTCCTTCAGAGTTTGCATATCATTGTTTGGCGTGACGATAAAAATTTTGAAAGTCAATATCAATTCATTGCGTGAAATTTTACATCCTCTAAGCGGGAAGAAAAAACATTTTTATATGCATTAAATTTGTTCTGTGTAAACAGATTCTCCAAGATTTTCTCTGGAGCTCTTGATTCAAGACTTAACATTACAACATTTGTCTATAATTTTCTATGTATTTAGTTACGTCTTTATGGCTTCTTGTACATGTATTTATCATATAAGTTAAGTTTTGCGCATATTAAAAATTTCTTAGCTGTATTTTTTTGGAGTTTCACATTGAAATAAGAATTTGTTGATTGTGCCGGAGTTAACCTACGTGACATTTGAGTGAACTTTCACATAGGCGGGGCAAAAAATTCGTCAAAAATTAAATTCCTTTATATTCTTGTCAGCTCGGAAAATTGTGCCGAAGATCGAGTGGGCATGGTATGTCGTTCTGTTACAACACATTCATTTTCCGTTCCATAGATGTTAGTACATGTACTTTAAGACATGAGCAACAGTTCAAACAGATTCATCGAGTAGTGTGGTAGTATCGAAGTTTGGATTTAACTCTGGTAAACAGAGAACGTTTTGCATGCATGGAAGCGTTAATTAGCTCTACTTAATTTGTTTCGTAGTGCCTGCTGTTTAATCAAACAAAATTTATGTATATCAAAAACGTATTTTAAAATTTTATAATGTTTTGATGATCGCTTGAACTCCTACCTCCTAGCTTTGCTGCTTTGGAAGGCGTTATTTTCTTCTACTTCTCGTGTTGATTTCATTATGTCGAAATACATTTCTTTTATTTCTGTAAACGAACGTTCGAACGCTCGTGTGTTCGTTCACTCTTTTTTGAATTAATTCCAGTTTTTGCGAATGGCACATTGATGTCTCGCCTAAAACTATCTTAAAATACTGAAATATTCTACTTTTAACGCTTGACTGGCATTGGTTCATCTATAATATTGGCGCATGGTCTTATCATCATTAATAGCTGATTGTTTGTGTACAACTTTGGACAAAGACGTACGCAAATTACGCGTTCCTTCTTAACATCCTGTTTATGTATAGTTTTTGGTTTATTTTAATTGACTCTAGTGTTCGCCCTGGTCATAGATATTGTATTATGTTATCGTAAACTTTTTTCCCTAGATACTATTTTTACTGTGGGAGATTGCAATTTTAATTGTTTCATAATTTAAGCTAAAAAGATAATTGTTAACGACCCTAGGCTATGTACTATATGTAACTCTTAAAGTCACCATTATGGTGTTTTGTATATACCTTTCATGCAAAATGCATTATTCTGGTGCTATTCAAACTCCAAAATTATAACTGAAGCTTTCCTTTCCAATTCCTGTTGACTTTTGAATTGACCTGAATTGCCATTCATTTTTATAAATGTTTAAAGACCTGTTTCAAACATTGAGCTACTGCCATTCAAAGCTGGCACAACTTTTGCGGGACTTGGTTTTATATGTTGAATTTAACTCAATCGATTAAAATAGCTGTTGCAGAAAAGAAAACTTACAAAATAAAAAGCAGTTTAGTGAACTTTTACAATGTATTCTAGTGTATTTATAATTTATGAATTGAGTTTGGCAAGGCAGTAGCACAACGTTTGAAACAGGCCAAAGGCTCTTAGTTGCTCAAGTATTTATGATGCAGCTTTTCCTATTGACCTTTAGGATTAACAGGATAAACAGAAAAATATTGCACTGATTATGTTCAAGTTTAAAGATCTAAATTTGATTTCATTCAATTCCCATTGCTCAGGAGTAGGCTGAATTTAAGCATATTGATCTTAGCGAACTTTGAGGTACTCAGCTAGTATGTGTGATGAATGTGACATGTCTGTATGTCAGGATTGCAAATCCACATTTTGGTGCTTTTGAATAAGCATACTGGGTGCAACTTGCTGACATAAGAGACCATGATAGGGCACAGGCCTCCCAGCCATTTTATTATTCTAGGTGCAATAGATGTCAGTGATAGCATTTCATTGTTAAACTACATGTGTAATTATTCCTACTAGTACTCTGACCTGTGACCTGTGACCTTTGAATTGAAACCTCTTAAGGAGTACTGTTTCATAGTGCAGCTACTTTTAATTTGTAAAACCAGGGGTGTAGCGTGAGATTTTAAAGGTGGACACACAGGAAGAAGAGAGCCAAAGGCACTTTAATCTAGGGGGCCTGGCGGCCTACTCCCCCAGAAAATTTTAAATTTAGGGTCTTGGAAATGCCATTTCCTGTGTTTTCCACAGAATGTATTTTCAGTAAATAAATATAAAGGAAAATGCAGTAGTTGTTTTTTACCTGTCTCTAGCATTATCGGTAAGGTACATGTGTATTAGCGTTTATGAAATAGAGGGAAAATCAGTGATGTCATTAGGTAGTTTACAAGGAAGGGCGAGACTTCTACCATTCACACTAACATAACCCAATATAATGCAAAAAATTTATCAGTCATTTTCAGAAAATAAACAAAAAATAAATTTTTTGTCAAGATTTTCAGTGCTTGGATGGATGGGCATACACATGGTCATATATGGACCTATATGCTCCTGAGAACCAGTTTGATGTGCATACATGTATTATATGTAACCTCAGGGAAGTGAATGGAAAAAAGGTGGGGAGGGGAGAGAGAGAAAACAACAGCAAAATATATCATGACAAAAACAAACCGCACTTCACTTGAGGTGTATTTTGCAGTGTTGATTGTCTGTAGTTGCAGCTGATCTGTGAGTCTCTCAGTGTAGTCTTTGTTGCTAGAAAAACAATGCAATGTTCAGATGTGCTTTGTATTAAATTTTAAGTACATGAAGTAAATTAATAAGTGAATTAATTATTATTACTATTATTGTTATTGTTTTATTATAGTTATTATATATATTTTTGGTTTCTCATTTTTTTTTTAACATTTCTTTCTTGCTATGGAAATTAGACTTATGGCATGGCTGTGACAACTTACATGCCCAGATTTTAAGACAGTACAATAATCTTTAGAGTCAAGTGCTTGAGCAAGTGAACTCATCTGCCATTCTTTGATATGATACTTAGGAATGTCTGTTTGGTGGGAAAATGATTTTATCTTGCTGTGTTTTTTTAATATTACGATCTCAATTTACTGCTTTGAATAAAAACACTGGGGGCTTTGATCAAAGAAAACTCACTTGTTTTTTCTCTGGACGTGTAATTATTCTTCCTTCCTTCATCAAACACTGATTAAATTACATGTCAACAAGGTTATTGAGGACTTAAACAAGTGGTAAAGAGCTTAGAGGAATTTAGTAGACTCCATTATAGTTAAAAACTAAGGCGTTTAAACGGTGAGGGTTTTATCTGGGATTTTAAGCAGAAGATAACTGTGCAAAAGACTGCCACTGTGTTTTTGTTAAGCAAATCATTTTCATTCTTTCATACATAATACAATCATTTGATATTGTTAGCTAAAGGTCATGACAACTTTGCTTGAGTGTACCTAAGTACCTCAACATTTAAGTGTGCATGTTTATGATATTACAGATCATACAGCAAGACTTCCCTTACCAAGGTTCAAATTGATTTTTTTGCCACAGTTTATGATACACTCTGTAGTTCTTATTTGATTTAATGTTATTCAGCGCTCAGAATTCATACACAGGGCATTGTAATTTTTTTTGTGACAGTTTATTCTTTAGTGGTGTTATATTCAGATTATATCTAGTTATCCTTTGTTAAGAATCTGTTCACTGATGCACTAATTCTTATTTTGTCTGTGTCACAGGGTAAATATACCAAGGCTCCGCAGATTATGAGCTGTCAAAAGCTACTAAAGGATCTCTGAAAAACTTAAAAGAAGTCTACAACAAGGCCCAGAGGAACTCAGAAAATTTGTCACACAAAGTATTTTGCATGCATGACTGAGCACGTGCTTTGCAAAAGTTCTGTCTGCTTGCACAAGTGTGGTTTTTACTTGAAATCTGGAGCAAAGTTTGCTTGAAAAGAGCATAACATTACAAGCATGTCTGAGTCATCTGATGATAGGTTGGCTAGACTTGAAGCAAGGAGGAAAAGGAGAGAACAGAGAAGACTTAGTCTTGACACAGATGAAGAAAGTAAGCATGTTAATGGAACAGATGAGGGTGATGTTGATGTTGGTGGACGCTCTCGTTCTTCCACCACAGATAGTGATATTGAAGCTTCTAGGGCTTTGACACGTGAGGAAAAAAGACAGGAAAGGCGTGACAAAAAAAGGCAGCGGGAAATGGCAGAGAAAGCTAAAGAACAAGGAGCTAAATCTGCAGCGGTGGTAACAGACTTCAGCAAAAGAGAAATTCGTGAACGGAGACCGAGTGATCCAGAGATTTTGTCGGGAGACAGTGAGAGTGTGGATGATGCCGAACGAGAAAATGATGAGAAAATTGCAAAGCCAGGAAAGAAAAAAACTGGTTATGGTGCATATGCCTCTGCTCTGCGCAGAGATTCCCAAGGTGGTGATGTGGACAAGAGAAAGGAACGATATGCAGCTGCAGTTGAGGGGTACCATATTGATGATGATGATGATGATATTGATTTGGAACCTTCAGTCGATCCTCATGCCCAACAACCAGAGATTATGGCCACTTCTCCAGTCAAGAAGATTAAGGAAGATTACCTGACCTCAGCAACTGGAAAAAGCAAAGTTGTGCCACATTCTGAAGAGCAGCCAACACCCCACCACCTTGCCAGGCAATGGCCTCCTCTCCCTACAGCCAAGGATGATGATGCAGAAGAGCAAGAGCCACGAAAGGGTGTGGTGAAGACATTCGAGGAAGTTGAAGCCCCAGAAGAAGACAGAGGTGTTGATGAAGGTCACGTTGAGTCTGTCCGATCATTAAAAGCCCAATGGCAGCATAAAGAACCAGCAAAGCAACCAGGAGTCAACAAACCATATGTACCCATTAAGAAAGACGGTGAGTGGATCACGCATTTTAGACCTGTTATAGATGAAGGAGAAACGCCCAAAGAGCCACAGTGGTTACAAATGGTGCGGCAACGGAGATGGAGGTCAACAGTGGCTGCCCGCTTTCCTCAAGATGAACAAGAGAAAGAAGTGTTTGAAAAGCGTTCCACAACACCCAGAAAATTCAAGAAGCCTAATCAATATTCTCTCATGCGATCCAAGTCTGACCTTGAAGATGAATTTGAAATAGCCATGAGAAGAAGGCGTCGAAAGACAGACGATGATGAGTCCATTGATGGCAGCAAGCGTTCATGGACTTCCATGAGTGACTTTGATCAGGAATCTGTGGGTGTTCTGAACAAGGTTCCCATTCAGGGTCCCTTGAAAGAGTACAAGAAAAATCTTGAGTTGGAACGGGCTCGTTCAACCATGCTTAAGTGGACTTTTTCAACAGATATGGTTGATGATCCTGTAAGATTTGATCTTCCCAAGCCCATTGACCTGACTACCCAGGAGGATTATGAAAAGGAACAGGAGTGGAGATATATGCAGTCTCGACGGCGATTTATTGGAAGCCAGTCAACAACAGATGGCATGGGAAGTCCATCCCTGCGCTCTTCTACATCATCTTTGAGTGAGGCTGAATATCCAAAATCACCAGTCGCAAGAACTCCCGGGCAGCCAGAGCAAAAAATGTCTACCAGTTCAGATCAATCCCCTCCAAGCCCGCAGGATCATCAACACATGTCAGATGATTCTGGTGGTGCCGGCAATGATAGTGAGCTTGCCTTCTGTAAAGGAGTGTCTGACATCAAAAAATCTTTACTGGGTTCAACTGAAGAGGCACCGTTAAAACCTACAATTGCTGAGCAAAACCTTGAGTATGTCCCTAGGTTAGCAGATATCAAAAAGAAAATTCAGGAAAGAGAGGAAGAGGCACTGCCAAGAGGAATACCTGTGGATGGAGAAATTCAGATGATTCCAAAAATGAAGGACATCAAGAGCAAGTTTTTGACCCCTAAAGAAGAGCGTGCTCCCAAACGGCCAGAGTTTAATGAAGATGAGCACTTCGAAAGACTAGATAGTCTTCGAAGTAAATTTTTAAGCCAAGGGAAGGAAGAAGAGCAGAAGGCCCCTGCCAAACCCAAGCTCAAGAAAAAGCTGAGTACAAGTGATGACATGAAGGCAATTATGGCAAGTCGACGGCAAATGTCAGATGAATATGCAAGTGAGGGTCAACAGAGCACCTCTGATGCAGTGACCACACAGGAGATTAAGAGTCTGGCATCCGATATTGCAAAGACATTTGGCTCGGAGAATGGTGATTCTCTGGAGAAGCCAGCCAAGAAAAGTATGAAGCAGAAAATGGGGGAGGACATTAAACCAGTGGAAAATGGGTCTGTTTCTGAAGAAAGTGATTCAAGACCAGTTGGTCCATGTGGAAAGCCTGAAGGCTGTGGAACTGATGATGAACTTGATAAACGAATGAGCAAGGAGCTAGATATTTTACCCACTCTTGGAGATGAAATGAATGAGGAGCCAGGGCCCATTCTACCTCTCAAAAGAAATGATGTTTTGGAGAGTTCCCCTCAGAGAGGTTCCTTTACGGATGAAGAGAAAGAAGATGAAGGCAAGACTTCTTGGAAGAATCAGGAGTCCACAGATACAGTGGAGACATCAGCCAAGGAAAGTGAAACTGAGAGTGACGTTGAAATGACTACAAAGCAAGTTGAAGATGATGGTGATGATGATGATGATGATTGTGATGATGGAAAAAGGGATGCTGATGGTGCTGGCGATGATGAAAAGGGAGAAGATTATGATGATGGCAACTTCTTGAGTTCAGAAAGTGATGATATCAAAGATGAGGCAGATGGTTCAAAAGACCTGGAAGAAAGTGATGAGGAGGTGGATGGAAATGTTAAGTCACGGATGCCGGCTGAGAGACCCAAGTCATCAATCTTGGAGGATGTTAAAAAGAAGAAGCTTCTCCAAGAAGATGAGAGGCCCCGGTCATTTGCATTTGGTGATAATGAAGGAGATGATCCTCACGTCACATCCAAGTATGTACCAGAAATGCTTCTTTGAAATCAAGAGCATTAGACTAAGAAAGGTAATACAGTCGAACCTCCTGTTAATAATCACCCAAAATGCAAAGATTTAGTGGTTGCTTACGGGAGGTGGTCGTGTATGAGAATCAACAAACGGGGGCTCTTCCTAGAAGAGGTCCCAACCCATCTACTTTATGGGAGATAATTTATTGCATGTGCACAATTTCTAAGTTACATACTCATATAGTTCCCTATTGTCACCGAGAGAGGTGGTCATTTAAAGGAGGTTCTGATTGTAGGGAGTTTACTGGGAAAATTTTGGTGTTTATGGGAGGTATTTGCTTAAGAGAGGTGGTCGTACAGGACCGTTCGACTGTAGTAAGATAGAGATTCGAAATATTCTTTCCTTGCTTGCCACAAACCCACCCCCTCCCCCCTACCACACCAGCAAAAAATGCAACTCAGAATGAAACACCATGGGCTGCTGGGCTCTTCTTGAACAGAGCCGTGTTCATTCATGTGTTTTTTTTATCCCTCAGCCTGTGGCTCCAAACTAGTGAATTAATTGTGTTGATTCTGTGGATGAAATTCTTTGATTTAGGAATGGTTTGAGAAATCTTTCTATGTGCTCTCAAGGGAGGACCTGTATGTTTGGGGAGTGCTGAACTGGATGTTGTTATTATTGACAGTAAGGCTGGGGACAGGGGTTGCAAGAGTGAGATTTTATGCAAGGAATTAGTTGAGATGTTGGGCGGGAATCGAGATTTCATGCAAGGAATTGTAGTTGAAATGTCGTGCGGGAATATTTTAAGTTGGTCCACTTGAAGATTTTCACCAGGGACTTACCTGTACAGAGTCAGTAATCATATATTACCGAACAAAAAAGAACTAGGTGAGAAGAGAAGAAAAGGGGTTGTAACTAATGATTAAAAGTACTGTTACATATCTCTTACCATTTGATTTTGTCCAGCTTGAAGGCATTTTCAGACCACAGAAGGAAAATTAAGCCAGCAAGACGACATCAGGCCAGCAGTAATCCTGTGCGTCAACGGCAGAACCGGGAAGATTTGAGAACTGAAACTGATGTGAGTTAGTCATTAATTTAATTATAATTTGTGCACTCTACAGTAGCTTATAGATTAAGTGACAGTACTAGGTAAAGAAATAAATTATTTGTTCATTCGTATAGTCTGGGAACATCTTGATACACTGTTATCCCCCACAGAAGAGATTGGAATTAATCCTCAAGGGGAAGAGGAAGTCTTAAGATCAAGGCATTAAAAAATGTATTTGTATGAAACTAAGTTAGAAGTTGTTCCAAAGGGATGAGTGTTCTAGAATGTTTCACTTCTTTGGGGAAGGCAGGGATATTTTCCAGGACTGCACATTGATATTTTTGTCAACAGAAACTACTGAGCATACAATTATCAAAGAACAAGCTGTTAAATCGTTACTTACAGTAGTAGGCTGCTGACTGGTAAAAGTTCTGTACCATGACTTTTGACTGTTAGGTTACAAGGGGAGCAGGGGTGGTGCAGTGGTGAGAGCAATCGCCTTCCACCAATGTGGCCTTGGTTCAAATTCCAGCATCAATTTGGCTATATTCTGTAATTACACAATGAAATTATCTCTTAGCCAGATAACCCCTGATAGTTCATTGGGAAAAATGCAATCATTATTGAGTGTTAAATAGACCTCTTTAGCATGAATGTTTTTTTGTTGGGCATTTGATAATATACCAGCAAACTGTTTCTTTCAAATTTTGTCTCATCAGAAAATAATAAAAATAAATATATAAATAAATAAATGCCAAAGGGCAAGTTTCCTTGGGATCATCATTGGAAAAACAAAACATCAAGTTTAAGAGGTCAATTTGTATTGTTTTCACTTTTCTTTTCAGATGCTGATGATTCGAGAGAGTCAAGAGAAACCATCTCTCGCTGGCAAGAAAAGTAGGCATCAACTGTTATTAGTTGGTAAAAAATTGGTAAAAACATGGAAGATGACTGTTGCAGCTTTAATTTGTTCAACTAGTGTTGAAATCATATGTCAGCAGCCCATAACCCACAGCTTGTAATTTTCCAGAAGCCTTGACCAGTAAATGAGTCTTAAAAACGTTAGTCAGCAATAACTGGAGACCAGGAAATACAATGTAGTATTTCTAGATGTTCTGATCTTATTTTCTTTTTTCTTTTTTATATATCAGACAATAGGAGCACAGACATGTGAAGCAAAAAGTAAAAATAAACTGGTCTGAAAAAAAAACAATGCAGTTGCATAGGCTTCGGGTTATGATATCCTTAGCATGTTAAATGTTGAAAATATTATTAATAGGCCATTCAACATGTTGAACTAGAATAGAGATGATTGGCTTTCCCTTGTGAGGTTGCAGTGGCCAAGTGATTAACACCAAGCAAGCAGTGCTATTGATCACAAAGAAATACATAATTAATTATTACAAACACACTACCTGCATTTAGCAAAAGCTATTCAAGGCAGACAGTGTGGTGACTCTACAATCTGATATATGTTGTCCGAAACTTCAGGGCCCCTGTTGCTCAAAGCAGAATTAGGCTGTGTCTGCATTGCTGCGGATAAAGTTTCATATCAATTCACAGGAACTGAAAACCCCTCTGGTAGTTCGGTAGTCCGGTACAAGCAAATTTTGAGAGCTGCTTGCTTAAAGGCCAAGAAATTCAAGTTTTTTTAGCCCTAAATACATCTAGGTCATTTAAACAGTCAAGTGAAATTCTCCTGACTTATACAAAATGTATAGAAAACACTGTTGAGAAAATTTGCCTGTTAATTTTAAGGCACAGAAGGGTTAAATAGATATTCTTTTTTTTTGTTTTGTTTTAGAAAAAGATAAAGGTTTTGCTGATGAAGCCATTGCTGGGCTTTCCAGTACAGAAGATCTGGCGGCTGCGAGCACTGCCTTGAGAAAGACAGCTAAGGATTCCTCTGGAGTGAGCAAAGAGATTAAAGATTTTGGAGGATTCCTTCCAGTAATGTTGTTGCAAATTAAAGGTCGGTATTCTATGCAGGGTTCTTAGTATTTTTTGTAGTAGAATGGCGCCCAAGGTGCAGTAGGCAGGGAAAGGTGAGAGTTGGCTTTTCCATTAAAGACGGAATGTACTGTGCTTGGAGTACACTGGTGCTAGTATGGCGGTTGTGGATTCTAACCTCGAGTGTTATGTGGCAAATTTAAAGGGTTCTGGGAAAACGCTCTGGTTGACATTTGATTAACTGGTAGATTCTCCTTGCAGATTACCTTGTGTTTAGTTTTGAAATAATGAGAGAATTTAGTATTAGACCAAGATTCACTAAGGGCCGTTCATATGTATCTGCCCATTTTTGAACAGCTACATAGTAGCAAATGCGTTCATGTAGTTTCTTAGTGATGTGGACAACTGCGTGTGTAAAACGTAAGAAGGATGAACGATAACCCACATCACGACACATGAGGAAACCAAAAATGGTTTCTACAAACCACAAGACACGCTCAAAACATGGCAATGAATGTGGATTTTCCTGTTGTGGCTTTTATCTGCTACTAATCTAGATTTAAGTCGACTTGATTTCATCAAGTGTACAGGGCGGTTGTGAATATTGTTGGTAAAATCTGTTCTGAAGGTAATAATAAATCAGAATTTCCTTAGCCCGCGAAAGTATCCGTTTCTCCTCGCTCTTCGCCGCTGGGGAGGAGAAACGGATGCTTTCGCAGGCTAGAATTTCCTTTGTCCGCTATGAATAATTTGGGCTAGGAAACAACGGAAATTCTGAATTCTGAATTTTATTGTGAAAAACAAAACAAAACAACAACAACATGAAGAACAAACAAACCAAAACAGTGGTGAAAGTTATGCTTGCCCAAATGTTTTGCAGTTCTTAACACCAGTTGAATAATGACTGTGTCTGGACAAAGAATACTTAGCAAGTGATTTTAGTATAATTTTCTTCCCACGGAGAAAAACATTGGGTCTAGAAGAGACACTGTTTAACAAACGGACTGACTGTATTTTTTTTCATCTGCTTTAGGATCAAGGCATATTCAGACGCGACTAGTTGAACCTTCAGCCAAATCTCTTAATTCTGGGGATGTGTTTGTATTGGTCACACCCAAGGAAATTCATCTGTGGAACGGAAAGGATGCAAACATTATGAAGAAAGCTAAGGTTTGTTAAATGCACTGACCTGTGTTTTCGTTTCTTGGGGGATGTGGTGGGGCATATCTTGGTGGGGTGGTGTTATGCCCCACCGTCGTGTCACAGGGGACCCATACTGGTGGCGATAAATTTTAATACTGTAGAATAACGAACTGAGGAGTGTCTCCCCTTCCCTCCTCTATGATGCCTCTGTGACGGATGCTAATCTACACACCAGCAAATCGTTTTAAAGAGAGCATAGCAGGTGAAAGAAAGTGAGTAGGAGCCACGGGCTACCCATGCCCGCTGAAGCTATAATCCAGTTTCTGTAGCATGTCGTTCATAAGCCCCTCCCCCAATTATACGCCCACCTACCTGTAGACAACAAAATATCCGTTTATAAGCCCCCCCGCCAACTGTATTATAATGAATTTGATTTCTTATGGTGTTTTGAAGCTTAATTAAAAACCAGTAAATGCAAAACGTGTACAAATTTTTGTGAAATGTTTTGACAGATTCCTTATCCCTAAACTTTAAGTCTTCTGAACGGCTAGTTTTAGGAATAGGAAATCTGTTTGAGCATTTCACAACAATGTTTACTTTGTTTGAATGCTAGTCTGCACGTCTCACTCTCCGTCTACTCCCGTGGTAAATTGTCTCCTTGTAAGTCCAGGGCTTGTAAGCGGCAGTTCACGGTAGTGGTAATCATAAAGTTAGGGGTTTTGTTTAGGATATATATTGGATGATCTTTCTTTTTTTAATCAGGGAACGGAAGTTTCTACCTTGGTCGTGAAGCAGAAGGATTTAGGATGCAATGCTACCAAGGTTCACATTATCAATCAGGATAGAGAGATTAGTGATGCTGCAACTAAACTTTTCTGGAAGACGCTTGGAGGCAAATCTGAAGTCTCGGGTAATGTAGTTCAATTTTTCATATTTGGTTAGACATGTTGGTTAGACAAAACATTTTTTATCGCAGAATTGGCACGAATTGAGTTAAGTTTTTAGGCTTAAAAACTTGATTTTGAAAAAAAATTTCCTGCCAGCGCTTGTCGGAAGAAAAAAATTGCATGCAGCACAAATTAATAGAGAGCTTATGGGAAAAAAAGGGAAAAAAATATCCTGCCCACCATATTGCTAGAAAAAAAAATTCTTGATGACCAGAAATCACCCACCCCCACCCTCAAGAGTTAAATGGTCGGCCCCTAATGTTCTTTTTTTTTTTATAACAGATGCCAGTCTTTGGCCTTCAGATGAAGAACACGAGAAAGGAGTTACCGCAACTAACTTAGTTTACAGAGTGGACTGCTCGTCTGAGCCCCCTGCACTTAAGCTACGTGATGACGTATCAGGCCGTGTTCTTAGTGAGAGTTTTATGGATAATTCTCAGGTGCGTTTTATTCGATACAACTTGACCCCGTTCTCACGTATTCGGATATTTTTGAAGGTGGAGATTTTTTTCTCCGTTTTGGTTTTTTGCCTTCCGTCTACACATAAACGGCGTTTTCGGGCACCAAAAACGCAGGTTTTCGAAAACGGTCTCCAGAGCGGCGTATAGTTTTTGTGTGGAATGGCCGAAAGCGGAGGTTTTTGAATACGATGATGTCATACATCGTGACCGCAAAAGGGAGGAAATGACAAAAATAAGTGCTTCACTAGAAGTTTTTTTAACACTAACTTTAGTAACACTGTATGGTTGTATGGGCTTATGCTTGGCTATGCGAGTATGTTGCAAGTCAATTCATTTTTAGATTTTTCACTTTATAGTGTTAATATTAATATTCATGTAGCAATGATTGTGGGTACAAAATAAGGTAGTACATGTAGTGATTCAAAGTTATCCTCGGTTTAGATTTTTATAAAAGCTGAATCACAACATATTAACTGAAGCTTGCTGTTTTATTTTTCATTTCTTCAAGGCATACGTTGTTGACTTCGGTTCAGAAGTTTACCTCTGGCTCGGAAGAAATTGCCACAGTCTAGCTCGAACAAAGGGCGTGGCCCTCGCCCAAGAACTCTTCAAGGGAAAATTTAAGTATAAAAGTGCGATCAGCCCTCTGGACCCTAAGACTAAATCAGATGATCCAGAAGAAATGCTTGAAGTAACCAGACCATCCTGGGCGTTGTTTGGGCGCATGACAGCACGCTCTGAGACGGTGCTTTTCAGGGAAAAGTTCATTGATTGGCCCGATCACAATGTTGACTATACGCAGGACTTTGTTAAACAGCCCATAAGTGGAAGTTTTGCTAGTTTTTCTGAGGTAAGAAAACGTGTAGTGTATGCTTAGTTCAACAAAGTGCCAAGAGAAGGAAAATTTAAAATTATTTTATACTCGTTATAAAGATCCGGGGATTCTTTGGTGTGGGTTTTCACTATATTAACATACATTTACAGGAATTATACACCAGGGCAGGCACTCAGAATGGTTTTTGGTTGGGGTGTGACACCCAGGCATAAAAAACTGAACCCTGTTCTCTGGGAATAGGCCAATTGCTAATCTTTACTGTGTTTGCTAAACGAGCTGTTGGCGTATGTCTACATGCAACCATTATAGCCATACGCCATGCGCCTTGCCAAAAATGTTGCTCTATAATTCTGTTGTGCTTGAATTTATATATTGGCGGGTAAGCGTAATAGTTAAAAGCATATCTTATTGGCGTATGTTATTAACAAGTGGTGAAACCATGGTAGTAAAGCAATAAAGGTAGCCTGTAAAATATGTCTTTCAGCTTAACCTATGTAATTTCCTCTTTTTCTCTACTTGTAAGTGGTAATGAACTTCATATTATATTAATGCTATTTTGTAACTGCCTGTAACGTTTTTCTAATGTCTGTTAACTGTAATTCTGCTAACGCTCTTCGTACTAACACACCCAGCCTTCATCTGATGAAAGTGGAAGCTTCCTAAGACCAGAGTCTAAAAAGAGAAAGGTATAGTAAAGGCTGCAGCCATTATAGCATGCTAAAGTAAAACCAAAGCCAACAGTTGAAGCCTGCAAGCAAACTCTGTTCGCAAGATTCGCGTGAGTTGTAGGCAGGCCACTCGCTTTCGAAGTTGCTGGCGCGTGTCACTTCGCCTGATGTTGTGCTCAAATGGAGAACTTGCTCGCAGGCTGTAAAAACTCTGTCTCTCTTTCTTTTTTTTTTTTTTTCATGCCCGTTGCTATGCGCTTGGGGACAGCTGTATTGACAACGTTTAGAAACGAGAAGTGAGCTGGAGCCGAAATTCTTCCGGCAATGGTTTCTGGGATCGTGGCTGGGGACGCGCCGGTCAGCTATTGGCCAATTTTTTTCTTTGTTCCAGGAACAGTCCCAGAAGTCTGTGCGAAAGTTAACTTGACCCAGTTCCCTTCCGGTTTCTAAGGTGACAAATGCCCTTGCTTAGAATGGATCGCTGGGTCGTCCCTTGTGATTGGCAACAGTAATTTGGTGTTACTATGTTGGAGCTCTTCGAGAGCAGATTGTGACAAGAATGTGATTTCTCTTTTAGCACTGCTTTGCCAGAGAATAGAAGTCTTTGAATATATTGAAATATCAGTTTACATAGAATCAGTAGTTGTAGCTGTTGAATGAAAAATATCTCTTTTGCAGTACTTTCACATGGTACTATTTTTGGGTCTTTTGATGAAATCCTACGGTGTTACTACTTCAATACTTAGTACCCAACGCCGTTGTGAATTAAAGGGTTTACCTTCGCTGTCGGGAAAATCAACATGCTGAATTAGTGTTTTATTCCCAAACAAGGTTTCTGCTAGTCAACACTCCGGTTTCGTAACGCAACTTCTCTGTAGCCTTTCTTTTTATGGTTTACATGGAGACGTTTTAGTGTTGGCCTTTTTAGTTTTTTTTCCCACGAACAATTTTGTCTAATTCTTCTGTATTTTTTGTCAGTAGATTCAACATTTTGACGCCTTTTATTTTCTTGACAACTTACAGAAACGACCAAACAGCATATTTGAAATGCAGCCCTGTGATCCTCAAAACTTAATCGACCCTCCTTCGGAACCAAGTCAAATTCTTGAAGGTTTGTATGAAAAATCCTCTTTATTTGAATGTCAGTGTATTTTGCACGAAAGTACTAATTGGGAACATTAGGGCCATTTATACGAGGAAAAATAAGACGCGTCTTACATAGGACGCGTCTTAAATAAGACGCGAACTTTCCGTATAAACGGCACATTTCGTCTAAAATAAGACGCGAATTAGCTAAGACCTTAGATAAGACGCGTCTTAGCTAAGACGAGAAAAACTTCGTATAAATGACCTTCGCGTCTTACATAAGCCGCGAACGCATGGTACGCATGCGTTAATTTTTGGCGGGAAAATTTTTGCCCCGGTTCCTTCGCCCCTTATTTTCGAGTCATTTAGCGCGCTCCAAATATAATATTCCTGGTTCTGTAAACCGTAAACCAAACAAGCGCGCTTGAAATGTAAGTTTCCTCGTTCTATGAGCAAAAAACCAAAACAAGCACGCTTCACTTATATCACTGATTATTTCTCGTTCTCAAATAGGGGACTAAGCAACCGTGGCGAAATGACTTGGGGGTGAACCCACGACCTCCTCCTCTGCTAATCCTGACACAGTAAAAGGTGGTCAATCCTTTATTTTGATCTGTGCATCGCTTTTTGAGCACCATTTTGTGTACCTTTTATCTGCAGGCTTTGACGTGGGACGTGGAACTGGAAGTTTTGACGAGGAAGGAAGGCATTTCATTGTTTCATCGATTTCAACTAAAATCTGGCATGTCAAGGAATACACCTATCAGTTATTGCCAGAGGAAGAGTACGGCCATTTCTTTTCTTCGGAAGGTTCGTTGTTGCTTTTGTCAAAATATGTCAAGCGCAGTACTAACGTAACTATTGTTTGTGTTGAACTGAATGGTGGCCGCAAAAGTGGTATTTGAAAGCTTAAGCAACCACAAAACAACGACAACGTCAAAAAACAGTAAGTTTTATGAACAAAACAACAGCTCTGCACGTGCATCACGCTTTTCAGAACTTTTCTTTGACGTCCACTGCACGACTACGACGTGAAACCTCTTAATTCGACGTTTAATGGAGGACGTAAACATACGATGAATTTTTCAGGCTCTTTTTGAAACTGGATTCGGTCCTGCTCCTTAAGAATTCATCTCCAGGAGAAATCGCCTACTTTTGACAAATAATTTAAAATAAACTGGACCAAATAGACGCGATAAAGTTTGAAAGGACGCAAATTCATTTCTAACGAAGTTTTCACTGCAGTCGTCGTCGTCTTTGCTTAAGCTCCCTAATGATGATGATGATGACAATGATGATGATGATGATCATAATGATGATGATGATGATAATGATTTGGCTCCCTGACGATCTCACAAGTCGTACTGGAAGCTTGCAGCCATTGTCCCTTTAGTTATTTGAGTTTCGAATTTGCGAGGCACTGAATTGTACCTTTCTAAATTTTCAGGCTATGTTGTGAGGTGGAAGTATTGTGTGAAACTCACAGGCGTTAAAACGCTCAAGGGAAAACAGTCCAAGTACGAAGATGTCGGCCGCGATAAAGTGGCTTACTTCTTTTGGCAAGGCAAGGACAGTACACTTAATGAAAAAGGAACTGCCGCGCTCATGACCGTGGAGCTGGACTCGGACAAAGGACCACAGGTAGGATACTAACCAGTCAAACGGCAGATACTGGCGAAAGCTAAGCAAAGTACACCCTGCTAGCAGATCCTTTTTTTCGCTTGCTCGAATTTGGCGTATTCGAAAAAGACTCTGCTTGAATTGAGTAAAATCTTTGTTGAGCATGCGCTGCTTGTTGCTAGGATACAATTTTGAACCCAGAGCCTAATAGCTGTGCGTTTGGTACAGCGGACTCAATTATGACCATTGGTTATCAATACACGGATGCTTGTACTCGAAAGACCAGTTTGACGAGAGAAAACAAAATTGTCTTCGGTCGTGAATTTCGTACTGTAGATAGACAGTTAGATATTTTACTTAGTCATAGTGGTTTTTTCAGTTAAAGCGCTGGTTTACATTAAAGCCGTTTTTTAAAATTTATATATCCAGCAGAGTTTCTAGTTATTCTAATTGTGAAAAAGAAAAAAATTTATATACACACGCTTAATGTAAAACTAGGTATTATTGTGAGGAATCAAAGAAGCTGGAAAGCAGGCGGCCCAGTTCAGATTTAAATAAGTTCATTGACTTTTCATTCACGCAAATCTTCGAGTAATTTATTCGAAATAAATGCGCCCCTATAGCCAAAATGTTTTTTTCTTGTTGTGGCCATAATTGGTTTTGGAAAGAGGCCACTGAAATCTAGAAGAGGAGCCCTTGTATCAAGGGTTGACCTCATTTTTTAAAAAATTTGGCATAGGTATTCATGAGCCATATTATCGTACACCTCGAACGTTTCTATAGCGAGGAGCTTAACTCTGTGTATGGAAACGTCAAAGGCTTGACGGGATTCAGGCAGTCTTGTCTTCCTCAGTTTCTGTGTTTTTTTTCTCTTTGGCTTGCGTTGCTATATCAATGATTGACTGAAAATCTCCCTCCAAAATTTAACCATAATAATGTTTGTTGTTCTTCTTGAAGGTTTTGGTTGCCCAAGGCAAGGAGCCGCCATGTTTTACAAGATTATTTGAAGGAAAGATGGTTGTTCATTCAGGGAGGTAAGTTCTTTACGATCGACCGAAATAATAATTATTATTGATTTGAACAAGTGTGGAAAGTGCCTTGTTGCAGGATGTTAAGAACGTTTTTTTTTCATTTTACTTCACAGGAGAGACTGTGAAGATGAAACAGGTATGGATACTGGGTTACGGTTTGATGATCGTTAAACGAAAGTTAGGTCGTTTATTATTTACAAAAAGTTTCCGGAAAATTCGGTTGGACAGTAAATTGAACACTACTTTTTGGGTCGTTCCATCCGAAAATTTCCCGCAGGAACAAAACATCTGAAGAGGTAGTCCTGTTTAAAACGGAAATTCGTGTTCCCTCTCTTGAATATAATCTTTCGTACCAGTTTCAGGGCTTCGCGTTCGTTTTTCGGTAAATGGAACTGAATTGTACAAATGGTAAAAGCGATTCCGGGACGAAATTTAGTCGTGAATTTTGTCTACCATTAGCCCAAACCATGAACTGACCTGTTTGCAATGCAAATGGTAAACTACCCTTGTTTTTGCGACTCTACAGCTAGCATGCGACTCCTCTGACAGTTCAAGCACGAGAACTTTGCAATTCGCTTCAGCCAGCTGATTTAAGCTAAAGACAAGACCGACTACTAGTACTAAGAGCGGGCGAATACGTAAACCAGCAAAGCGCATTTCGCAATAAGACGTAAATGTTAACAACAACGAGAATAACGTGGCGAATATTAATCTTCCTCTATTTACGTCTGTACAAAATAATATTTAAGAAGAATCATTACTTACCACTTTTCTGTCACTCTACCAGGAGATGGAGCATTATTTATTGTAAGAAATGAAGAACCAGAAGAAGCTTATTTATTAGAGATCCCAGCGAGGTGAAGTAGATGCTTGTTTCGTTATTTTGTCGCTCTTGCATTTTTTTCTTTCAAACGCATGTGCTTATTTTTTGACGCACGTGCAAAGTTTTTCATGCGCACGTGCCGTAGTGTTGGTTTTCATGCACGCTGTTTTTAACGCACGTGCCAAGTGCCAGATTGTTGCTTTAAACGGGATCTGCAGATAGTTGGAAATTTGTTTTAAACATTATTTTGTTTAGAATGCCGTATTTACACCAACATGTTATCCTTGACTAGGTTTCCTCGCTAATGTAAACGGAGAATAAAGCAAAAAATTCTTGGAAAACAAACGTCTCTCTTCGAGCCGTTTTAAGTGCTTAAAGCGCATTCTTTTGTTTGTTTGTTTTTTGGGGGGAGGGGAGGGAAGGGGGTGGCCATGGTTACTACTAGGACGTAAGAAGTCTTTCTTGATGTTTTATACTTATTCTTTATTTTTTTAAATACCATTTATTTCACTTAGACCTATCTTTTATTAATTTTTTCTTTTCCAGTTCGTCTTGCTTGAGATCAAGAACATCATTCGTGGTAGCAGATAAAAAGAAAGCTATACTTTATGTCTGGCACGGCTGTCAATCTCATTCCACTGTGAAAACACTGGCGGTTAATGCCACAAAAAGACTTAAAAGATGGTAAGATACTTAATTTGTCATCACTTGCTTCCAAGGAAACAAGTGCAACTGATCCCAGATCTGTCAAGCCTGAATTTTTAGGGGTCTTTTTCAACCGCTTAGGTTGTTCATTCAACTGCGATGATCATGTTCACTTTTATATCTTTATCCGCAGTTCAAAATATGAATCATTTCATTTATTTCAATTCACAGGAGTTGATCTCGAAAAACCTGTGGCCCATAGTTTTTGCAGTCCGTTTCCATGATCCTGGCCATCGAGAAACAATGATAAACCTACAAATTGACAAAAATGTCGAAGTACAAAAAGGTTTAAGCAGTGAGCTAAATAATTTCTTAACTTTTGGCTATAACATTGAAATAACTAACTGAAATTTCGAAGTATAAGGTCTTTTAGTACTGACAATTTGCTACGTTATTTTCAGAAAATGTCTAATTAGTTAAGAAAATTCAAAATTATAATTCCTGTATCGTCAAGAAATGACATGATTTGTAGCAGGACCGACTTGGCTCTCTTTTTTTTATCAAAAATTTGATTGACATTTTACAGTAACCGAAATCGCTGTAACAATGCCAAAAGACAAAGTACTAGAAAGTCACCAGTTTACTTCAGAACTAGAGTTCTCTTAACGGGCACTCTCGTAAGCGAACAGTTCTACTTACGGCTGCCTTCACAAGACCCCGTTTTACTCAACTCCCATACAAACTCTGTATTTCTTCATTCTCGTAAGGGGCCAGCTGCACTTACGGACACCTTTCTCGCGTCCCGAGGGTCGTCCCGAGGGTGTCCACCTACAAGAGCTTCCACTATATTGTTTTAATATCCTTTTGTCTTTCCACAGGTTTAGTAAGCAGTACTCAAAAGATTACAAAGCCAAGGAAGTTTCTGAAGGGGGAGAAACCAAAGACTTTTGGAATGTTCTTGGAGGAAAGGCGAACTTTATGTCACTTAGTGAAGGTGAGTGTTGCGATGCCTTACAAAAGGTCATTCCCCCGTCGTGCATTAGCTGCTGCGTGGGAAATGACGAAACGCGCGACAGTTTTTTTAGTGTTATATTCTGTGAGTGTTCGCGTGTCTTGTTACTTCCATGGCGGAGGTGGCTTTATTTTTAGTCTCTCAGGTCGTCTTGACGAGCAAAAGGAACGTAGCGAGCGAAGGAGGGCTAAAGAGGTTGTAACATTGGGCATACGGATGCATTCTTACATAGCAAACTTTTCAACTGGAAAAAAACTGGGCGTTTCGTTTCCCTCTCTCTCCAAAGTTCAAGATGGCGGCACAGATATTGCCCGTGAATAGCCTGAGATTGAGAAATCCTTGTAAAAATTCGAAAAGGGACCACGCTTTTCCACCGGAAAAGTTTCCAACGGGAAAGAAGACTTTCTTTTCAAAGCCTTCCACTTATTCCTGGGAGTTTTCCAGCGAACCTCCCGAAAAGTTTTTGCTTCATGGTAAACGAATTTCTTGGTAAATGAATATCGCCCACTGATCCTTTCTGTCCTTTTTTACTAGTTTTGAGTTGGTGTGCGAATACGATTCCGCCTTTTTTGTTTGTGAACTGGACGTAATCCTACAGTTGACTTTCCTGAATAGATTACTGTTTGCTATGCTTAACGGCTAACAGAGTAGGAATTTACAAGCGAGCGTCTTCTGTCCCTCTGAGAATTAGGCCAGTCATATTGCTTGTATCGGACAATGTTGTGAATATACGGTACAAACGGTATTTTTATGGTACAAAGTACCGGTACCAAGTTATTTGTACTTAATTGTTTATCATTCGGTTTTTTTGTCTTCTTAGATTCTAAAAAACTTGATTACACGTTGCGCGTTTTCCACCTGAAGAGCACCAGTGGGTCCTTTGAAGCAACGGAGGTGCTAAACCCCGCGAGATCTGAGCATATCACGCCTTATCCAATTCTTCAGTCTCAGCTATATTCAGCAGATCAACCAGGTAAGCTGGAACTTCTCCGGCTGGGAATGAAGAGCTTCTTCTCCCCCCTTGCCTTCTTCCAACAGCAGTTACCGCTATTTCCTTGTAGATGATGTAATTTCGGTTTACAAGGTGGCGCTTTAATTCTCTCCCTCCTTTTTTGTTTGCTTGCTTGCTTGTTCGTGTTTAAGACTGTTCGTTCACTTAAAATGCAAGTACACCCAGGAAAGTGAGTGCTTGCCAGCTGTAAAAGTGCGGTAGTCCTTTTTATAATGAACTACTCAAACAAAATTTGCGTCGTTTGTTTAAAATGAAGTTGTCATTGCTGTCTTTAGGGGCATAGATAAAGAAAAGTTCGTAATGTTTGCTGCACTCTTCCCAAAATTCTCCTCAGTTCTGCGATGAAAATGCTTTTCGTAATAAGCCAATGATCGTATTTCGGACGTGTTTCATCTTCCAACAGTAGATCAGTGGGTTGAGCGATGAATTCAGAAACGACAGGGTCAGAGTATAATAATATAAATGTTCTACAGCGGTGTTTGATACAGACGTGAAGGCAACAGCAAATGTACTGCAAATATGTGGCAGATAGCAAACCTGCACCACGAGACAAACGTAAACTGCCATGATGGCAACCTTCCTCAGCCTTGTAACGCTAGCCATTTGTCCGTTCTGCGATGCTTGTTGTAGCTGCTGCACTTGAATTTGGTTTAGGTGGCGACGCACGGAGAAATAAATTCGGACACTGAAGAAAGTCGCAGCAATAACACATGCAAGTACTGTAATGCCAAAAACCACTTGCATACTCTTTGGGATCCACAGCCTCGTCAACGAAAACAGTCCGCTTAATACCCAAATTGAGACGACAACAGCAACAACTCGCTTGTGTGTCACAAGTTCTTGATATCTAAGGTAATATTGAATGGCTATAAATCTATCAGCACAGAGAACAATGACGAGAAACAGCGTCGCGAAAGTAAATAAATTCATCGGAAGGAGAAACGCAATATGCATGGCATTATAAGTCTCACCAGTTTCATTATTTTCGTTCAAGTTCGTAGAGATAAGATCTACCACCGTCATTGGCTGAGCTAGTAAACCAACACCAAGGTCAGAAACAGCCAGACTCAGGAGCAATGTTTTTAAATTCTTTGACAAGGACGGAGTTTTTCTTATGGCGTGGATTGTAACAATGTTTAACATGGTGGCGGTGTAGGATAAAAATGCATTTAAAAGGCAAACTAGGAGATACGAGGAATCCATTTGTTGTCCTTCTTGGATTTTTGCTGAAGCCAGTTCAATTCCTATCAGGTGATGCAAGAGTTTGATCTTTTATGAATTCAGTAGAGTTAGTTTCGTGGACTTCTTCTACCGGAGCTTCGAAGCAGATTGACTTATTTTTAGAATTTCACGACTTTCAATAAGTTATCCTTTGATAAGTACTTTGACTAAATTCCTTTGTAACTGAACCACTATGAAACATTTCATCATAACACAATGACGCAGCAACTAATCATTAAGTATTACTGGTCTAAGTGTCAGATCTCTTGGTTATTTTCAAGACAAATTGTAAAATCGTAATGTGTGTTTGTTAGCTTCATATCAATTTAAAAACAGGAGGTTCTTTTAAAAGTAACTTCAACTGAAACACAGGAAACTTGCCCCACCATTTTTCCTGCCTTTGACAGTTAAGTCATATTTGAAGGCTTTTTTTCTTTATTGGGGCCACCATATGCCCATATTGCGTTCGAGTGAACGAAATGCGAAAAAGGACAAAACTGTCCTTCACCCTTGTGTATGCTCCAGATGCTGTATTTTAAAAGAACGTCGTATTCATTAAAATTTACTGCAAAATGACATGTTTCTTATTAGTTGGGACTAAAAGCGGTTGATTGATATTTTAGAAAAAAAACTGTTCCTCGTTAGTCTTTTAGCCCATTTAATTTTGATGAATATGTTAAGGCTTAATGCCTTTATGCCTTTATGTTAAAGTTTTTGGCGTTAACGTAAGGGCTTCACAGTCCCTATTGAAGGAGCTACAAAGTGTTTCGTCTCTTTAAAGGTGTTGAAATTTTTTAAATTTCCACACGTCCGAAAAATCATATTTAGTTAACAGTAGGTTTTAAATAACCAGCTCGGAAAATTTTAGCTGTTTAATTTACATATGATATGGTTTCCTAACTCTTTCATTAACTTGTGTTGTATTTGCAATTTGCAATATCGACGACATAAACTATTAGTGGACAATTTTCGTTGGCTTTGCACCCAACTGTTTACCGGCGCAAGAGGACTTGTTACAAAGTTTTTCGTCTCTTTAAAGGTGGTGAAATTTTTTATATTTTCCCCACGTTTTAAAAATCATATTTAGTTAACAGTAGGTTTTAAATAACCAGCTCGGAAAATATCAACTGTTTAATTTACATATCATATGGTTTCCTAACTCTTTCATTAAATTGTGTTTTATTTGCAATTTGCAATATCGACGACATAAACTATTAGTGGACAATTTTCGTTGGCTTTGCACCCAACTGTTTACCGGCGCAAGCGGACTTGTTACAAAGTGTTTCGTCTCTTTAAAGGTGGTGAAATTTTTTATATGTTCCACACGTTTTAAAAATCATATTTAGTTAACAGTAGCTTTTAAATAACCAACTTGCAAAATTTCAGCTGTTTAATTTACGTATCATATGGTTTCCTAACTCTTTCATTAAATTTTGTTGTATTTGCAACTTGCAATATCGACGACATAAACTATATGAGTGGACGGACAATTTTCGTTGGCTCTGCACCCAACCATTAAACGCAAGCGGACTTAAGAACTATTTCTTTTGTTGTTATTGCTGTTGTTGTTGTTTAGGTGAATTTCGTTTGCTACCCAATTCTAATTCTGCTCTGAAACTGGGAACAAGGTTTGTGATTGGCTGAGAAAACAATAGGGATGTTGACATAACAATGCCCCTATCCCTGAAAACAATAGGTAGTGCAGGTTATAGGGACCAATGAAATAAGAGCTTTGGAAGGGTGCTGGTCAATAGGAAAACTAGCGCCAACAATTCATATTTAGGTGAGAACGCGTTATTTTCCCGAATTCCCTATCTACTTCAGGCTCCTGTTGGAAGCTATTTCAGACCTTTCTAGGTCAGAATGGAAGTGAAAATATAGTATCAGTAACCAATAAAGCTTGTAAACCGCAAAAAGCGTCAAGGTTCCACAATCGAACGAAATTGTCATGAGAATGAATAGTGCGAAAGACAGCTGTTGAAGTTTAGCCTGCTAGAAAGCAAAGCTAGGCGCGAGAGAACGCGCCTCTCACTTCGCCCCTCGCACCCGCGTCTCCTTGATGAAATGTTGCTTAATGAAATAAAAATAACATAAAAAACACTGCAGAACAATACAAAATACCAAAACGGATTTGACAATACATACATGTATGTTTTTTGCGACGAAAACGATTAAACCATAAAATCTTAAGGGTTCTAAACGCGAACAGTTGCAGGGAAGTTTTTTGTCACAATTTCCCCCACCTTTTATTAAGAATAATCTCGCACACTTTAAATGTTTTAAATGTTTTATTAGGGTATGAATTCCACTTACGCTTTTCAATGAGAGAAGGGTTCATGTGAAACCTTTTATATGCTAACGTTAAATATCAGTGTGTTATTTTGCTTAGCTTCACCAACATTTAAAATGCAATAATGACATTTCTATATCATCTCAGTTAAGGTCAATTTCAACAAAACCTTTGCAACATGACGAGTTAAACGTTCTTAGGTTTTTAACACAGTGAAAAGGTTACGTGAAGAAGAAACTTAAGGCATTTAGCTCGTTTTGCATCAATAAGACACTGTGAAGTGCGTCAATCGCTCTTTTAAAGGTTCATTTTACAAAAGTAATGAATTTTTTTTAAACTAAAACTTTGCATAAGGACGTTTAAAAACTGAATGATGACAGCGTGGATTGTGTCATGGAAATTACATGTAAGGTAATTCGCAAAGCATTTCAGTGGCATAGCTTCATTTAGTTACAGACCGTATAAGGATGACCCTATAAGGCTTTCTTAGTCCTCTGTTCGTCATAGTCTATGGTGAAGCTTTCTCTAGGTGTGACTTGAAAAAAGATTTCGAAGTGTGCCTACAATAGTGTGCTGGATGCGTTTCATCTTCCAACAGTAGATTAGTGGGTTAATGGTTGAATTCAGGAACAACAGGGTCACTGTATAAAACTGCAAATGCTGTAGATCGTTCCTTGGTTCGGAAGTGGAAGCGTCAATAATTAACACACAAATATCAGGCAAGTAGCAAACTATGAAAACCAGATACACGTAAAGCGATGCCATCGCAGATTTCCTTTTTCTTTGAACACTTTCTTCTTGGTCATTCTGCGCTTCTTGCGGGATTTGAATCTGGTCTATGTGGCGTCTTAGAGTTAAATAAAGCTTGACGCTCGTTGAAGTTGCAGTTATAATACAGGCAGACATAATAATGACGAAACTCACGTACATGATATTTTTTGAGATGAATAACCTGATCAGTGAAATAAGTGCGCTTATCACCCAAATTGAGACCACTACAGCAGCAACGCGCTTGCATGTCACAAGCTCCTGGTATCTGAGGTGAAGGTGGATTGCCAAAAATCTTTCTGCACAGAGAGCCATGACACTAAGCAATGACGCAGAGAAGAAGAAATTTATCGCGATAAGAAAAACGATATGTATGGCACTAAAAGATTCATTGGTCTCATTTTTTTGTTTAGAGTCTATGATTTCTGCAACAAGCATTGGCTGAGCTAGTAAACCAACGCCAAGATCAGAAACAGCTAAGCTCAGTAGCAATGTTTTTAAATTTTTGGACAAGGAGGAAGTCTTTTTGATCCCGTAGATTGCTACAATGTTCAGCATGGTGGCGCTGTAAGACAAGTACGCGTTTAATACGCAAAGCGTGAGATATGACCAATCCATTTGATGACCTTTTCGGGTAGTTGCGGTGTTTGAAGCAAGCAAATTCTTGTCGGACCTTGCAAGCGTTTGGTTTTTCAGGATGATCCCACCAAACCCACGTCACGGATTGACTAACGTTCAGAGAGTTTCCAAAACGTTTAGTAAGTTTAAGACTTTGATGAAAAGCAGGTTGACTTACTAAAATGCATCTTTAACTGAGCTACGATGAAACTCTTTTCTGAACATACGATTACTGATGACAGGGCATTGCTGGTGTGGCAAAACAGATGTCCTATGTGTTTTTAAGACGCTTTGTATAATTGTTAGACGTATTTTTCTAAACTGCCAAGCAATTAGAAAACGGGAGTTTTTGTTTCAAAATAGAACTTAAACTTAATCACCGGCAAAAAGAAATATTCCAATTAGTATTTTTGGTAGGGCCGCTTTATCGCATTTTGTGAAGCAAAATGTTCAGAAAACTCCCGCAAGATTTTCGTCTTCCTCTGTTTCTTTAACTAAATAGTTTAAAATAGAAATGTAACATACCTGCCCAAAGATGTTGGTGCAAAAGGTAAAGGTGTTGATCTCTGACTTGGTCTTAAAAGTATAAACAAATAATGGACCTGACATCCCCTTTTTAATGATTGTTTTTGTGCTCGATTTGGAAAATTTCAGCTGAATGGTTTCTTGACTACTTCATTATTATATGCTGTATTTTAATAAACTAAATTCATCAGAATAACCCGCAAGGTGACGTGCTGCATAAGTAAAATTAGTTGCATCAGTAATTTCTTTAGGGTGCTCAGTGTTTAATAATCTTGCACCTCCCCCCCAAATTATCCGCATGAATATCCTTTCATTTGCAATTTATAAGGTCGAAGAGAGAAGCTGTTAGACAGTGTTGTTTTGCACTGCGTCTTTTATTAACAAAGCGGGCTCAAAAATTATGGGTCGGTTATTAAAACCAAGTTTAACTTAGACCGCCGTTTAACGAATCTTTGGAAGTCCAGATATCCTCCCTAGTGGGTTATTTTAAGAAGTTCAATGCTTTTCAAGAGTACGCCATGTGCTATCTTGAAACTGGTAACGATAAACGGTGTTGAGATGAAAGCATTGGGCAAAGTGAAAATGACTAAGAACGCGGTTTTGTTGAACAGTGACGAAACTCCGTTTAAATAACTGGCCCTATTTCTTTCTTTTGGGTGCGGTGTTCGCTTTAGTTTCCAGCCGCCCCCTTCCCTCAGAAGAGATCGCCCCTTGGCAGCCCAGGTAAAATCGCCTTTCGGCGATTCTTGTTTCTATGTTTGTTATTACGTTTTTCTCAATTTCAAAGGAAATTAGAAAACAGTAGGTTTTCGTTCAGAGTTTAACTTCAATTTAATCACCGGCAAACTTGATCAACCTTTTTGCCGTGGGACCGCTTTATTGCATCCGGAAATTGTGATATAAATGAGAGCGTTTTTAACTTTCGCATTTCTTTAATGTTACCCAGAAGTTTACAATAACGTTTTTTCTGTACTCTTGAGAGTGACAAAATCTTTGATATTTTTGACAGAATTGCAATCTAACACGACAAAATATTGGAAGCAAAAAAAAATTTAAATATCCAACTCGTTAAATTTCAGCTGTTTTATTTACTTGTCAAATGGTTTCCTAACAGTACTGTAGCTATTGTAGATCGCTGGGCACTTTGAAGGTATCCAAGTGGCAAAACGATTGTCTCAAGGCTCTTTGAAACATAGGTTTTTCTATACTTCAAGGTATTTTGAAAGCAGGAGGAAGTATTTCAAAATTAAATTTCAACCCTGTTTTGTCGCCGGGACTGCCTTCAATTATCTCATCGGGCTGAGCACATTGTCGACAGAGCATGCGCATTTCTATCTTCTTGCAGATGTCCTTGTTTTTCAAACAATTTTTACAATTTGTATATAGGTCTTCCTAAACTTCAAAACAATTAGGAAAGAGGAAGTTTCATTTAACAAATTAAACTTCATCTTAATAACAGGCAAATTTGTCCAACAATTTTCCCCACCTCTTACAGTTAAGTCATTATTAAACAAACGAATGCTTTTTTGTAGTTGTTTTAATGTTTTTGTTTTTATCTATCGTACGCATCCTAAAGGTGGTGTAAAACTACATTGACTCTCTTCTGCTCCACCTTAATCTTGGCAAATTCTGGTTTAACCTGCGATCAGGCGGTTGGTCTTTCCTTTTTGTTTGGGAGGCGTCCGCCGACTTTCTCCGAAAAAAGATCGCCTGATAGCAGATTCTGTCTTGTTCGAATCGAGACCACCGTCTTTTTGGAAGCCTTTAAGTAGAAATGTAAAATCATAACTGATTCGATTTCGGGGAAATCAAAGGTTTCGTGTACCTTTTCGTGTACCAGTTTTATTCCCTTCAGCCCCGGAGCCAAGTATGAATGTTGATAATTCGCAACTGACCCATTTTCTCTCTTTTGTTTGTGTTTTTGAGTCTAAAGTTCCCCGTCACGCATTTTTAGAAGCCACGAAAAAAAAAAAAAACAACAACAAAAAATGAAGTTCTGCTCGTGCAGACGCGCAGTCACTGAGTCGTATAATCGTGATCGAGGGAAACAAAATGGTGCAATCGTTACTATATTTAGTTTGACTACTATTATCTTGGTTTACAAGTCTAGGAAAGAAGTTTTAAAGCTTTTGTTTTCTTGAGGATGTTTTCTTCGGGTGTTTTCATCGTCTCGCTGGCTTTGATAAGATCGTGCGTGTGATTTTGCTTTAATTTCGTCAGGATACTTGCTTTTCTTCCTTTCCTATTTATCTGTAGGGGTGGGTGAGGAGGTAAAGCACAATGCTTCATACTTTTAACGGAGTTTTGACAACTTTCGTGTTTCTTTACAATGCATAAATTATTACTCCGAGACAAATTGTTTTTTAAATCATAGATTCTAACGAGACCTACAACAATCTCTATTGTTCATTTTTATTCTTATTCTGCTATATCTCTTTTTTATAATTGTAAGTTTAACATAACACGATTTTACATTTGTTATTGTTTCTTGTTGTTGTTGTTGTCGTTTTTTCATATCGTTTATTATTTCCAGATGGATTGTCTTGAAGCTCTCTTTAGTTTTGCTTCGCAAATGCATTTCGTATGAAGCCAATGATCGTGTGTCGGATGTGTTTCATCTTCCAGCAGTAGATCACAGGATTAAGCGACGAATTAAGGAAGACCAGTGTCACAGTGTAAAACTGTAAATGCTTTATGCCAGTGCTTGGTCTAGAAGTGAAGGCAATAGCAAAGAGTGTACAAATGTTTGGCAGATAGCAAACCGTTAAGACGAGGCAAACGTAAACTGACATTTTTCAAACAATTTTTACAATTTGAATATAGGTCTTCCTAAACTTCAAAACAATTAGGAAAGAGGAAGTTTTGTTTAACAAATTAAACTTCATCTTAATAACAGGCAAACTTGTCCAGCAATTTTCCCCACCTCTTACAGTTAAGTCATAATTAAGCAAACGAAAATTTTTTTTTTGTAGTTGTGTTAATGTTTTTGTTTTTATCTATCGAACGCATCCTAAAGGTTTTGTAAAACTACATTGACTCTCTTCTGCTCCACCTCAATCTTGGCAAATTCTGGTTTAACCTGCGATCAGGTGGTTGGTCTTTCGTTTTTGTTTGGGAGGCGTCCGCCGACTTTCTCCGAAAAAAAGATCGCCTGATAGCAGATTCTGTCTTGTTCGAATCGAGACCACCGTCTTTTTGGAAGCCTTTAAGTAGAGATGTAAAATCATAACTGATTCGATTTCGGGAAAATCAAAGGTTTCGTGTACCTTTTCGTGTACCAGTTTTATTCCCTTCACCCGCGGAGCCATGTACGAATTTTAATAATTCGCAACTGACCCATTTTCTCTCTTTTGGTTTTTTTTTTCGAGTCTAAAGTTCCCCTTCACGCATTTTTAGAAGCCACGAAAGAAAAATGAAGTTCTGCTCGTGCAGACGCTTAGCCACTGAGTTGTATAGTCGTGATCGAGGGAAACAGAATGGTGACATCGTTACTATATTTAGTTTGATCACTATTATCTTGGTTTTTAAGTCTAGGAAAGAAGTTGTAGTAAAAGCTTTTCTGAACCCGATGATGTTTTCATCGGGTGTTTCATCTTCTCGCTGGCTTTGATAAGAGCGTGCGTGTGATTCTGCTTTAATTTCGTTTGCTTACTTCCTTTTCTTACTTTCCTTTTTATCTGTAGGGGTGGGTAAGGAGGTAGAGCAAAATGCTTTATATTTTATTTATTGACGGATTTAAAAAAGTTTTGACAACTTTCGTGTTTCATTACAATATATGAATTATTACTGCGAGGCAAATTGTTTTTTAAATCATTGATTCTAACGAGAACGACAACAATCTCTATTGTTCATTTTTATTTTTATTCTATTATATCTTTCTATTATTGTAAGTTTAACGCAACATGATTTTACATTTGTTATTGTTTCTTGTTCTTGTTGTCGTTTTTTCATATGGTTTATTATTTCCAGATGGATTGTTTTGAAGCTCTCTTCAGTTTTGCTTCGTAAATGCATTTCGTATTAAGCCAATGATCGTGTGTCGGATGTGTTTCATCTTCCAGCAGTAGATCACAGGATTAAGCGACGAATTAAGGAAGACCAGTGTCAGAGTGTAACACTTTAAATGCTTTATGCCAGCGCTTGGTGTAGAAGTGACGGCAATAGTAAAGAGTGTACAAATGTTTGGCAGATAGCAAACCATTAAAACGAGGCAAACGTAAACTGACATCATCGCAAACTTTCGCATCCTTCGAACGTTAACCATCTGAGCGTTCTGTGGTGCATGTTGTAGCTGCAGCACTTGTATTTCGTTTACGTGAAGTCGCACGGACAAGTAAATTCTGACACTGAAGAAAGTGGCCGCTATAATACATGCAAGTGTTGCAATGCCAAAAACCACGTACATAATACTCCTCGGGATCAACAGCCTCACCAGCGAAAGCAGTCCGCTTAATACCCAAGTTGAGACGACAACAGCAACAACTCGCTTGTGTGTCACAAGTTCTTGATATCTAAGGTAATAATGAATGGCTATAAATCTCTCTGCACAAAGAACAATGACGAGAAACAGCGTAGCGGAAATAAATAAATTCGCCGCAAGAAGAAGCGATAGGTTGATGGCATTATACGTTTTGCTAGTTTCAATGTTTAGCTTCGACTCCATAATACAAAGTGCCACATACAAAGGTTGCACCACCAAACCAACACCAAGATCAGAAACAGCCAGACTAAGGAGCAATGTTTTTAAATTCTTTGACAAGGACGGAGTTTTTCTTAAGGCGTGGATTGTAACAATGTTTAGCATGGTGGCGGTGTAGGATAAAAATGCATTTAAAAGGCAAACTACGAGATAGGAGGAATCCATTTGTCTTGGAGTTGTGCTGCAGCCAGTTAAAGTCCTATCAGATGATGCAAGAGTTTGATCTTTTATGAATTTAGTAGAATCAGTTTCGTGGACTTCCTCTACCAGCGTTTGGAAGCAGATTGACTTATTTTTAGAACCCCACGACTTTCAATAGGGTAGCATTTGATAAGCAGTTTGACTAATTTCCTTTTTAACTGGGCCACTATGAAACATTTCATCTTAACACAATGACGCGGCGACAGATCATCGCGTATTGCTGGTCAAAGTGTCAGAATAGATCTCTTGGTTATTTTCAAGGCAAATTGTAAAATCGTTATGTGTTTTTGTTAGCTTCATACCAATTTAAAAACAGGAAGTTCTGTTTAAAGTGACTTCAACTGAAACACAGGAAACTTGCCCCTCCATTTTTCCAACCTTTAACAGTTAAGTCATACTTGAAGTTTTTTTTTCTTTATTGTGGCCGTTATATGGCTATATTGCATCGGAAGGAGCGAAATGCGAAAAAGGACAAAACTGTCCTTCACCCTTGTGTATGCTCAATATGCTGTATTTTAAAAGAAAGTTATTAGGATTTACTGCAAAATGACATGTTGCTTATTATTTGGGACAAAAAGTGGTCGATTGAAATATTAAAAAAAAAATTCTTCCTCGTTAGTCTGTTAGCCCATTTAATTTTGATGAACATGTTAAGGCTTAATAACCTTATATTTCAAAATTAAAGTCTTCTAGTTTTTGGCGTTAACGTAAGGGCTTTTCATTTAGGGCCTGTTTACGTGGAGGTGGGGGACCCCAGGTAGGTGAGGTAACCCGCTTAGGTGAGGTAAAAAAATAACCCTCCTTTACATGCAATCTTACAACCCCGCCTTCCCGGGGTGCACTTTCTCAAGGTTATTGAATGGTCGCTAAGCACGTAAACAAGAAAAATGCTGGCAAACCACGGGTTTGGGGATTAATGCACTTCTTCACTCACTTGTTGCTCTTGCTGCAACCCGTCAGTGCAATAGCTTTCTATTGTTAACTTTAATCATAATGCAAAGACACCGCGAAAGTGAATTTTGCGCGAATTTGATGTATCACGAATCCGACCCCGGCCAGGCGGGTTACCCCACCTTGAAACGTTTACATGACAAATTGTGACCCCGGCTGAGAGGGTAACCCGGTCTGGTAGACCGGGTTACCCGCCTTGGCGGGTCACCCCACCTATCATGTAAACGTGATCAAATGAAAATGAGAAATTATATGGACAGGCGGGTTACCCCACCTAAGCGGGTTACCTCACCTACCTGGGGTCCCTCACCTCCATGTAAACAGGCCCTTAGAGTTTACAGTCCCTGTTGAAGGAGTTAAAAGTGTTTCTTTCAAGGTGGTGAAATTTTTGATATTTTTCACACGTCTAAAAAATAATACTTAGCAAAGAGTAGGTTTTAAATAACCAACTCGGAAAATTTCAGCTGTTTAATTTACATATCATATGGTTTCCTAACTTTTTGATTAACTTGTGCTGTATTTGCAATTGTAATATCGACGACATAAACTATTAGTGGACAGTTTATGTTTGGTTTTGCACCCCACCTTTAAACGCAAGCGGGATTAAGAAGTATTTCTTTGTTGTTGTTATTGTTGAGATGAAATTCATTTGCTACTCAATTCTATTCTCTTTTATTCCCTGCAGCCTCCGAGCCAAGTATGAATTTTGATAATTCGAAACTGACCCATTTTCCCCCAATTTGTTTGTGTTCTTGAGTCTAGAGTTCCCATTGGCTGAGTTAGTAATCCAACACCAAGATCAGAAACAGCCAGGCTCAAATGCAATGTTTTTAAATTCTTTGACAAGGTCGGAGTTTTTCTTATCGAGTGGATTTTTGCAATGTTTAGCATGGTGGCGGTGTAGGATAAAAGTACTAATCATTAAGTATATTGCTGGTCAAAGTGTCAGAATAGATCCCTTGGTTATTTTCAAAATCGTCTTTTTTTTATTAGCGTTATACCAATTTAAAAACAGGAAGTTTTGTTTAAATTAACTTCAACTAAAACACAGGAAACTTGCTCCACCGTTTTTCCTACCTTTGACAGTTAAGTCATATTTGAAGTTTTTTTTTTCATTATTGGGGCCACTATATGGCCATATCGCGTCCGAGTGAACGAAATGCGAAAAAGGACAACTGTCCTTCTGTCTTGTGTATGCTCCATATGCTCTATGTTCATTAAAATTTGCTGTAAAATGGCATGTTGCGGTCGAATGAAATATTTAAGAAAAAACTTTCCTTGTTAGTATTCTTGCCGATTTAATTGACAGTAAAAATAAAGCGATGTAAAATGAAAGACTTCTAATTTATGGCGTTAACATGAGGGCTTCTCATTGAGAGTTTTTAGTCCCTATTGAAGGAGTTACAAAGTGTTTTCTTCTCTTAAAGTTGGTGAAATTTTTGGTATTTTTCACAAAATGTAGTGTCTAAAAAATAATATTTAGTTTGCAGAAAGAGGATAAGAGTAGGCTTTAAATAACCAACTTGGAAAATTTCAGCTGTTTAATTTACATGTCATGTGGTTCCCCAAATCTTTCATGGATTTGCGTTGCATTTGCAATTTTTAAGCTCGACAGCAAAAACTATTAGTGGAGAGTTTTTCGTTGGTTTTGCACCCAACCATTAAACGCAAGCGGGCTTAAAAACTATTTCTTTTCTTGTTGTTGTTAAGGTGAAATTCATTTGCTACCCAATTCTACTATGAAACTGGCACCAACAATTCATGTTTAGTTGAGAGCGCGTTATATTCACGAACTCCCTCTCTGATTCAGGCTCTTGTTGGAAGCTATAATTTCAGACCTTTCTACGTCAGAATGGAAGTGAAAATATAGTAACAATAATCAATAAAGGTTGTAAACCGCGAAAAGCGTTAAGGTTCCACGATCGATCGAAATTGTCATGAAAATGAATAGCGCGCAAGACAGCTGTCGAAGTTTAGCCAGCAAGAAAGCAAAGCTAGTCGCGAGAGAACGCGCCTCTTACCCCGCCCCTCGCGCCCGCGTCTCCTTACGCGTGCTGCTCTCGCGTGAATTCTCGCGTCTCGCCCAAAAAAGAGAGCTTCCTCGCAGGCTAGTTGAAGTTTGATATTCTCGTTTCTGGGCAAATTTTCAGCATGTCTTTAGACGGAGGTATAGGGTGGTTTCTTTTGTACGGCCGTGGCTTTTCTTTTCATTATTATCCTTGGTGAAATGTTGCTTTCTGAAATAACAATAAAAAGCACTGCAAAACAGTACAAGAGACCAAGACGGATTTGACAATACATATGTTTTTTGAGACGAAAACAGTTAAACCATAAAATCTTAAGGGTTCTAAACGTGAACAGTTTTAGAAAAAAGTTTTTTTTTTTATCATACTTTCTCGCCCTCCTATCATTGAGAATAATCTCGTGCACTTAAATTGTATGGTAATGGCATAACTATATCATCTTAGTTAAGGTCTATTTCAGCAAAACCTTTGCTTCATGACGAATTAAATGTTGTTAGGTTTTAACACAGTGAAAAGGTTATATGAAGAAGAAACTCAAGGCATTTAGCTCGTAGTAAGCTAGCTCACTCTTGCATCACTAAGACACTGTGAAGTGTGTCACTCGCGCCTTTAAAGGTTCATTTTATAAAAGTAATGAATTTTTTTAACTAAAACTTTGCATAAGGACGTTTAAAAGCTGAATGAAGACAGCGTGGATTGTGTCATGGAAATAACATGTGGGGTAATTCGCAAAGCATTTAAGTGGCATAGCTTCATTTAGTTACAGACCGTATAAGGATGACCGTATAAGGCTTTCTTAGTCCTCTGTTCGTCATAGTCTATGGTGGAGCTTTCTCTAGGTGTGACTTGAAAAAAGATTTCGAAGTGCGCCTACAATAGTGTGCTGGATGCGTTTCATCTTCCAACAGTAGATTAGTGGGTTAATGGTTGAATTCAGGAACAACAGGGTCACTGTATAAAACTGCAAATGCTGTAGATCGTTCCTTGGTTCGGAAATGGAAGCGTCAATAATTAACACACAAATATCAGGCAAGTAGCAAACTATGAAAACCAGATACACGTAAAGCGATGCCATCGCAGATTTCCTTTTTCTTTGAACACTTTCTCCTTGGTCATTCTGCGCTACTTGCGGGACTTGAATTTGGTTTATGTGGCGTCTTATAGTTAGGTAAAGTTTGGCGCTCAGAGAAGTTGCAGTTATAATACAGGCTGATTCAGTAATGACGAAACTCACGTACATAATGTGCCATGGAAGGAATAATCTGATCATTGAAATAAGTGCGCTTATCACCCAAATTGAGATCACGGCAGCGGCAACGCGCTTGTATGTCACAAGTTCCTGGTATCTGAGGTTAAGGTGAATTGCCAAAAATCTGTCTGCACAGAGAGCCGTGACACTAAACAATGTCGCAAAGATGAAGAGATTCGTCGCAAAGATCAAGAGTTTCGTCGGGATAAGACGCGTTTCACTGTTTCGTTTTGAGTTCATAGCTTGTGCAACAACCATTGGCTGAACTAGTAAACCAACACCAAGATCAGAAACAGCTTGGCTCAGGAGCAATGTTTTTAAATTTTTAGACAAAGACGAAGTCTTTCTGATCGCGTAGATTGCTACAATGTTCAGCATGGTGGCGGTGTAGGACAAATACGCGTTGAATACGCAAAACGTGAGATGCAAGTAATCCATTTGTTGACTTTTTTTAGATAGTTGCGGCGCTTGAAACCAAATCGTTTAAAAAGGAAATGTAACAAAACTGCCCAAAGATATTGGTGCAAAAAGGAGAGATGCTGATCTCTGACTCGGTCATAAAAGTATAAGCAAATAATGGATTGCGACATCCCTCTTTTGATAATTATTTTTGTGCTCGATTTGGATAATTTCATCTATTCCCTTGATTACTTCACTAATGTGTATTTTAAGTTAAAATTCACCAGAATATCTGGTAAGATGGCATACTTCAAGTGTAAGTTCAAGTTTAATTTATTGAAAACACTATTGATACAAGCCATAATTAATCCGCAAAGTAGCCTATAGTTAATCGAGGCGGGAAGGAAAAGTAAAAAAATTACAATAATAGGGTTGAAGCATAACTATTAATAAAGTTAACCAGATAAACGAACATCAACATATTGAATCAACTAGACAGTGAATACATATGCTTCAAAATAGGTAAATGAAACAAGGTATGAGTGAAATTAAACTAAAAAATAAAACTGTCAGCATCATTAAGACTTTTCTTGGCTATGTTTTGAGAACATTTAAACAGATAAAAAAAAATAATATTTACTAAATATGTCAATTAAAGTACGCACGCCAACATAAGTATCCTCCAGTAACAAAATATCCAGCAGCCGACTCTGTAGGGTATTCTTAAATTTATATTTAGGTAGAGCACGATTACTGTCGGGAATACAATTCCATATTTTTGCACCAATTCTTGAAAAGGAGTTCTTCATATGGTCAGTTCTCGAGTACTTAATGTAAAAATTGCCAGCCGCGGAAAATCGTGTATTGTGATGACGTACTTTTGAAGAATAAGTAAATAACTTGGAAACGTTTGGAGGTGTTACATTATTGGATACATCGTGCATAATAAGGCAGATTGTTGTAAAATAAAGAAAATTAAGAGGAAGAACATTAGACAATTTGAACAGAGGTACAGCGTGGAACCTAAAGGGTTTGAAGTGAATCAATCCAAGGGCACGTTTTTGAGGAATCAAAATTTTCTCCAAATTTGTGGGAGCAGGCGTGAGCTTGGCCCCAGAAGGCTATACCATAGGACAAGTAAGGTTGTACAAGAGAACGATATGTGTTTAATAAAGTGGAAGAAGGGACAAAATGCCTTAGTCTTGCAAGAGTACCTTATGATTTGCTGATTTTGGTAGAAATATATGTGATATGATGCGTCCAAGATAATTTTGAATCAATAAGGACACCAAGGTGTTTTGCACATTCTTTCCTTTCTAAGGAAACAAGAGAGTTTGCGCTGTAATCATTGATATATGTAAAAGCAGTTGTATCAATAAATTTTGTTAGGGTGTTTAGCATTTAATAGCCACAAGCCCCCAAATTAACCGGGTGAATATCCTTTCATTTGCAATTTGTAAGGTCGAAGAGAAAAGCTGTTAGACAACTACAGCAACAACGCGTTTGTGCGTCACAAGTTCTTGGTATCTGAGGCAAAAATAAATACACGCGAATCTCTCTGTACTCAAAACGATGCTGAGGAACAATGTAGATTAAGCAGATAAATTCGTCGGAGTAAGAAACGCAATACGGATGTCATTAAGAAACTTGGACGTTCTATTCTTTTGTTTCGATTTCACAATAAGATATGTAACAAACATTGCCTGACTCAACAAACCAACACTAAGATAAGAAGCAGTGTTTTTAATTTTTTTTCACAACGATGAGGGTTGTAGCGATGTTTAGCATGGTGATGATGTAAGATAAAAACGCGTTTAAAAGGCATAATACTAAGGACGAGGAATCCATTTGTTGCTCCCTTCGGTTTTATGCTGAAGCCAGCCAAATTCTAATCTTCCAGAAATTCATTGAGTAGAATGCCTTTCTGTGGACTGCTCTCGTAAAAGCTACGATGGTGACTGAGAAATGTGTAGATAGTTCCAAGACGTCCAGTAATCTAGCCTTTGGCTAGTAGTTTGACTAAAAATTATCTTAAACTAAGCCAGGGTAAAACATTTCCTTTTCTAAGTGGCTGAACAGATGTCTTGCTTGTTTCTATGACAATTGTGGAAATTAGAAAACGGGAGGTTTTGTTTAAATTCTCCTCAGCTTAATTTCTTGTAAATTTGTTCGATCATTTTACCTTTGACAGTTACGTCATTTTTGAAGATGTTATGAAAATATTCTGCTAACGCAAGATTTTGTGTGGCGCTATTAAAGCATCACGTTTCGGCGACGCCTTGTCACCATTACGGAACGTAAGCAGCCACGGCGGCGACAACGACAAACTGAGATAGGTTTCGGAACTGTTTTATTATTGTTATTGTTATTATTATTATTATTATTATTATTATTACATCGGAAAGTGCGCAAGCCAGAATTTAAGTAGTAACTTTTTATCAGTTTGAATTATTATTTTTAAATAGTTTTTATTTTTTTTTATCAACTTTTTGATGCTTTTTATAATTGTTATTAGTAGTCTTTAGATAGTCATTTTACAACAATTCTCTTTCGTAGACAAGAAAAATGTACATAGGGTATATATTTTAATATTTCATATTTTTGAATCTGTAAATAGTCTATTTTTTTTTTAAATCTATGAATAAAGTTTTGTTTTAATTATTATTATTATTATTATTATTATTATTATTATCCGTAGCAATGCTGTCTTTTGAATTTCCCAGAAATTGATATTTCATCGAATTTCGCTGACGAACTTCTCTGAGCCTGTCTTAATCACTTCTAACGCACTTACGACCACTGGGATTATTTCTGTCTTCATCTGAGACATTCTGGTGATTTCTATGTTACCTGAGAAGTATACTTTTCGTGAATAATTTCTAAAAAACTGATGTTTCAAATGTTGTCAAACTGCCCCAAAATGAACAGAATTACACTATAGAAGAATTTAAGCTGTTCGCTTTATGTCACGTGTTCTTTAATACGATGTCAAAGTTGTTTTGTTTGTAGTCCAGCTGCAATGTTCTGAAACTTTCCTCAGTTGTGCTTTGAAACTGCATTTCGTAATAAGCCGATGATGGTGTGTCGTATGTGTTTTACCTTCCAACAGTAGATCAGTGGGTTAAGCGATGAATTCACAAACACTAGCGTCAGGCCAAAGTTTAACAGTAAATGCGTTTTAACATTGTTTGATCCAGAGGTAACTACATAAACTAATACGACACTGATTGGCAAATAACAAACCATCAATATGAGACAGACGTGAACTGCCATGATCGCAAACTTCCTCAGCCTTTCAGTGTTAATAATTTGTCCGGTCTGTGGTGCTTGTTGTAGTTGAAGCACTTGTCGTTCGTTTAAGTGACGTCGCACGGACAAATAGATTCTGACACTGAAGAAAGTCGCAGCTATAATACAAGCAGATTCACTAATGCCAAAAACCGCGTACATTATATTCCATGGAACCAACAGCCTCACCAATGGAAAAACTGCACTGACTGCCCAAACTGAGACAACTACAGCAACAACACGCTTGTGTGTCACAAGGGTTTGGTATCGGAAATAAAAATGAATTGCCATGAATCTGTCTGCACAGAGAACAGTGACGATAAAGAAAGTAGCGAAACAAAATAAATGCGTTGGGATAAGACAAGCTGTGTAGATAGCATTTTGAGGCTCCGTACTAATTTCGTTGTTGTCCTTCGAGTCGATGATAAGTTTTGCAACATATAACGGTTGAGCTGTTATTCCAACGCCAAGATCAGAAACAGCCAGACTAAGGAGCAATGTTTTTAAGTTTTTTGACAATGAAGGAGTTTTTCTTATGGCGTGGATTGTAACAACATTTAGCATGGTGGCGGTGTAAGATGAAAATACGTTTAAAAGGCAAAGTATGAGGTGCAAGGAATCCATTTGTTGTTCCTTTTGGTTTTGTTTTGAGTCCAAGGATTTTGCAAGAGTTTGATCTTTTAGGCCGATTTCAGTAGAACCAGTTTTCGCGGACTTTCTTCTCTTGAGCCACCATGCCGACTGAGTATAATTTTGTGGAGAGTTCAGTAAGGTAGCCGTTGATAAGCAGATTGATTAAAATTCCTCTTAGCGAAACCAGAGATGACTAACCCGTTTTCGCAGACTGCCTCCCTTCCTGAACTACAATGGCGACTGAGAATTAGGGGTGTTTATGGAGAATTACAAGACGTTCAAAGTAAGCTGGCCTTTGATAAGTAGATTGAAGCATTTCTTCTGAACACGCGACGGTGCTGATGACAGTTAGGTTATATTTCAAGTCAAAGTTATATTTCAAGGTAAATTCTCCAAAATATTTAATTAGATGACGTGTTCCTTATTAGTCGAGACTAGATTAAAAGTAGTCGAACTTATCAGATGGCCATAATTTGTTTTAAGACGCTTTGAACAATGACCTTGTATGTTAATTTATGTTTTTTTCTCAACTTCAACATAATCTCCGGCAAACTTGTTCAACCATATTTTCGGTGGGACCCACTTTATTGCATCCGCAAATAATGAAGTAAATGAAAGCGTTTTTTAACTAGTATTTCTTTAACGATACCTTTGGGCGCCTACTTGGAATCAACTAAACACTTTCATGTTGCAAAGTTTAGTAAACTTTGCAACATGAAAGTGTTGCAAATGTGCCAATAAACAGAATGTCATGATGACATTCTGTTTATTGGCGTTTAAATTAAAGGTTTCCGTTTCAGGCGGTTAACAATATTGTTGTGAAGTATGTTAAAGCTTATATTTAAAATTTGTCTCGTCTTTTAAGTTTCGTGTTTGTTTCGTTGAGTGGGTCAAGTAAGTCAGAATTTTGTCCACATGGATGTGTTCCTGTTTTCATCTTGTGATTTTACTAGTACTTGAATTTACGCTTCGTTCGCAAATTTAGCTAAGTCCATTTTGGAATATTCTTCGTTGCTTTCGTCAGGTGTAAGTTTTTTACAGGTGGTCGTGTATGTGAAGTCAGAGCTGACCTTGGTTCATTAGTCCCGTTGAAGTTCCTGTTTGGGTTTATTGGTTTTAGTTTTTCATTGGTTGATAGCTTCTTGCCAATCGAAACTGTGTAGGTTCAGCGGCACCAAAACATTTCACCACGCTGCGTTTGCCTTGTTTTTATTCCCACTGTCATGGTGACATCTTTGATTTTTTCTGTCAGAATTACAATCTGACAAGACGAAATCTTGGAAGCGAAAAGAGCTTCAGTGAAGGTTTTGAATACCCACTTTGGAAAATTGCAGCTGTTTTATTTACTTTACTTATTTACTTACTCTGTTGTGGATCGGTTGGCCTTTGGCTTTATCTAATAAAGTGGCAAAACAAAAAATGTGTCAAGGCTAAAATGATAAACTACCATTGTTTCAAAATTAAACTAAACCATTATTTGTCGGCGGGGCCGCCTTTATCCATCGTACCTGACGACGACATTTCATTCCCTTTTCGAAGGAATATTCCTGAAATTCACAATATAACACACCAGCTTAACGATTTTAGTGCGAAAAATAAGGTGTCGATTTCTGACTTAGTCACAAAATTTTGAATAAAAAACAGACATGACAGTGTTTTAAATTAAGAATAGACCTTGTCATGGTTTCGACGCCATCTTGACGAGTAGGCAAACGCGTGAGAAATTACTGTGTCTGTATGAGAATCTAATGTCGAATAATTTCCATAGAACGGCTGTTCTGAAAAAAATATGAATTGTAAACTAAAGCTTCACTCCTAAGGATTCTTCCGAAAAGAATTGAGGGCGTTACATGCGCTAGAAGACCTAGAAACACTTTTTTAAATTTTCTATACATTTGTCTGTAAGAAAGTCCCGCGAAAATTACAGACAAATATATGGAAAATCTAAAGCAAGCCTTTTGGAGAAATTTAAGCACAGGTATGCCCCCAATTGTTTTTAGTACAATCCTTTGTTTTGTAGCTTTAGTTTACAACTCATATTTTTTTCAGGACAGCCGTTTTACGGAAATTATTCGACGTTAGATTCTCATACAAACACTGTAATTTCTCACACGTTTGCCTACTCGTCAAGATAGCGTCGAAAACCGTGACAAGGTCTGTTCTTAACTTCTTCTTGATTTGGGAAATTCAGCTGTTATTTTTTTCACATGTTAAATGGGTTCTGAACTCTTTTACTAGTACTTGTTTTATTTAAAGTTAAAAGTTTATTTAGTAAGGTGAAATTTTGCTTATGAGTTATGACTAAAAGTAGTTGAATCAATAGTTTTTGAAAAGTACGTTAGACCACTGAAAAATGATGGACACGACGGTTTTTCCAATTCAAAGAATAGCTTTGTCTAGATTTAAACCTTGGAGGTAGTTTTATTCTCAAAACCCATTAGAGTGAGGATACCTTTAGTCCTTTTATTTGTAACTTAAAAGTAAACTTCCCCGCTTGATTTAGGTTTGACTTTTGAGGCGTTATGAATCGTCTCTAAAGTTTCGTTTGAATTGCCCACTCACAGAACCGGACGAATTTTCGAGCGGTTGAAAATTCGTGCGTTTAGTTGTCCCGTTCATACGGAACCAACTTTACCGTTTGAAAATAGTCGTCTAGCCGTCTTAAGGCCCGCGTGAACAAGGCGAAATTATTGGTCGCGTGTGAACGAAGTGTCCGACCAAATTTGCAAATTTTCAACCGGTCGAACATTCGTCCGGTGCTGTGTTTTAACCTTTTTTTTGGTTGGTTCGCAGTATTGCATCTGGCCGAAAGAAAGATGGTACACCATCAATGCAGAAAACTCACCAAAAGGCAATTATATTTCAAAGCGGTGTTGATCTTCGTCACAAAAAATGAACAAATAATGTGAATGGCGGTGTTTTTCATTTAGTTTCTCTTATTTTAACGCCGCTTATACTAATGGTTTGGACAATTATAGGCGCCTATACGTGCTATCCTGAAAACCTGAGGTCTAATTCCTGAATAAAGTAACAGGAATTTTTGTTTAGAATAACCTCAACTTTGCCATGAAAGATATTGTTTATTGTGGATAATGTGTATGAAGGGTTTCTTTAATCGTTTGTCTCACGATTGTCACTTAGATATTGATCCAGCGCGACGTTTCGTTTCAACTTTATCATCGGAAAACTTGTCTTGAGACTTAGGGCTGCTGAATCAAATAGTTTTTAGGGTAGTTAGCATTTTAATTTTTTTCCTCAGTCTTTCAACCCAACGTGTTTGTATTATTGTTATAAGAGATCTTAAGGTCGAGGTTGGCCATCGTCTGCCCATATTTGGGACTTAATTCTCGTAGGTGATAGTTCGCGGCTGCGCACTTGAATAAAGGATCTCCAATAAAGAAATTTTCATCGAAACTTCCACGTCGGCCTTCAGTCCATTATTGAACTCGGGAAGCCCGACTAATAATATGCTATTCGAAACAATTGAAATGTGCATTAATTTGATGGGTGTGGAGTTTTTTTCGGTGAAATTTTGAGGGTAGACTTTGCTGTTTTTCTTTTGTTTTTTTGTTTTGTTTTTTGTTTTTCCTTGTGTGTGTATGCTGCGGATTGTAAAAGAATACATAAAAATTAGAACCTGCTAAAAAAGTGCTGAATTAGACACAATGAAAGGGTGACACGAACAGGATACGTAAGGACCGTAAGTAGAGTTTTTTGTTTTGTCCGATACCAGCATCGCTGCGACGAGTGCCAAACGCGCTTTGAAACGAAGCCTCGTCTTACTGAAATATACTTGAAAATACTTCTCGTAGCTTGCCTATGACAGTGTTTCGTATCTGTTTCATCTTCCAACAGTAGATCAGTGGGTTAAGGGTTGAATTAAGAAACACTAGGGTCAGAGCATAAAAGCGGAAATACTGTGCATAAACCCCTGGTTCGGAAATGGCGGCGATAATAAATAACCTACAAATATGAGGCAAACAGCAAACTATGGTAGCAAAATACAGGAAAAGCGATACCATCGCAGATTTCCTTTTTCTTTGAAGGCTGTCGACTTGACTATTCAGCGCTACTTGCGTTACTCGAATTTGGTTAATGTGGCGTAGAGTAGTAAGGTAAAGTTTGACGCTCATGGGCGTTGTAGTTGTAATAGAAACAGTCACAATAACAACGAAAATTACGTTCATTGTTTCTTTTGAGATTAATAAACTCATCAGTGAAATAAGTGCGCTGAGTATCCAAATGAAGACAACTGCTGCAGCAACGCTCTTGTATGTCACAAGTTCTTGGTATCTGAGGTGAAGGTAAATGGCGAAAAATCTGTCTGCACAGAGAGCCGTGACACTAAACCATGACGCAAAAGTGAACAAATTCGTCAGAATAAGAAACGCGTTAAATGTGGTATTATAAGTTGCATTCTTTTGTGTTGAGTCCACAACAAGTCGAGTAACATACATTGGCTGAGCTAGTAAACCAACACCAAGATCAGAAACAGCCAGACACAGAAGCAAAGTTTTTAAATTTTTTGACAATGATGGAGTTTTTCTGATCGCGTAGATTGCTACAATGTTCAGCATGATGGCGGTGTAAGACAAGTACGCGTTTAATACACAACGTGTGAGATTCGACCAATCCATTTGTTGTCCTTTATGGATTTCTGGTGCTTGAAGCATGTAAAATCCTTGTCGGACCTTGCACAAGCGTTTGATCTTTCAGGAGTTCAGTAGGATCAGTTTTCTAGACATGCTCCGACTAGAGTCACGACACGGATTGACTAACGTTTAGAGAAATTATGTCAAGATGGTCCGTAAGTTAAACTTTGATGAGCAGTTAACTGAACCACGATGAAAAATTGCTGAAAAGACATCTACTGTTGATCGGGCATTACAGTGTGGCAAAACAGATGTTTCACTTGTTTTGTTATACGTTTTGAATGATTGTTATATATAAATATATTTACTAACTTCAAAGCAGTGTTAATGATATATGAAATAAATCATATATGAACTGCGGAAATGAAATGAAAATGAAGAAATGATCGTCGCAGTGAACGCAATTTAT